GGGTGCATCCTATTTGAAATCTAATTTTGAGTATTGTAGATATACAATTGAGCAAACTTTGGCTGTCGTCCTTCAGTTGGGAGTAAAGAACCAATCTTATGAAAATTTTGCCCACTCAAAATAAATTGTAGAGCAGCGGTGCCATTGTTTAAAGACGTGTCAACCTTTCCTCTGATTTAAGTGAACGCAAACATGCTATTGTATTGACGAACATCTTGCATTTAGTGGGAGCTCCTACTATCAATTTCATTTGTCAAATTAAACAATAGGTGAGGAGGTTTTCTTAAGAATGAAAGTTGAATCTTTCATTTCATACAACACATTGCAAATTCAGGATTATAAATCTCCTTTGTCTTTTCATCTCTTTCTTCATACTAAAATAAAGCTCTGTAAAAATTACATTGAAAAGCAAAATACCAAATATCATATATTTTTGCAAACATAGTTAAATATGATAGTCATTTCTTTCAAATAAAATAAATGTCTTTGAATATGTATTATATCAATAAAGGACTACCTTGTGGTTCACCACCATCGAATATGGGATTATTAAAATTATTTTACTCATTGAATCTGCAAGTGGTGTTTCCCCATGATCAACATCTTCTAAAAAGACAATTTAGTATTAGTTCAATTTGTTCATAATAAAACTCTTGAATTCAAAAAAAAAATATTTTATTATTTACAGAGTATCTTGTTGTTCTCCATCTTCAGGTATAGCATTGTCAATTCGATTTTCGTTATTTGAAGCCTCAATTGGTACAGCACTTGCGATAACATTTATTTTTAAATCAAATGAAAAGTAACTGTTAAATTATAAATTGTCAGTTGTTTACATATGATTGGAAAATAATAAGACATCCTTACATTTTTCTTAGGGTTGATAAAAATTTGTCCTTCTAGTTTCAATAGAATAAGTTGCTCCATTCCATAGAATAGAGGAAATTATGTTATTTTTTGGATGACGTGCTTGTAGGCTTCAAATGTAGTCTTTCAATTGGGGTACACTTTGTGCTTGAATTAGTCAACGGTGAAAATGAAGATCTTGTTTCTATAAAATGAAATATTTTGCATTTGATGAAAGAAAAAAAAGAATGAATTTATTATGAAATGCAAAAAAAAAAAAAAGATTTCTTTTGATAAATAAAAGCACATCAATAGTAGGAAAATGAAATTGAATGTCAAATAAACATTGTACAACAGGCGTATGATTCAATGATTGCGAATGTCCTTCTGTATAAAAAGCCTTATGCAAGAACCTTCATTTTGACTTGTAAGTTGATTTCCTACTAAAAAAAAAAATTAAAAATGACAATTTTTAAGTGAAGATTGTCATAAAAAAATCACTAAGTAAATAAGTTGTATGATATGTATATAATTTTTTTTTAAATTCAATTAATCGTAAAAAATATGTAGTTTAGGATGAAATTAACCTTCAATAGGAGAGGTTAGATTAAATGATGTTGGTGCTCTCCGTCGTTTAGTTATTTGACTTTAACAAACTTCCTGATCAGAGGCAGATTGAGTTTGTTGTAAGCCTACAAATATTTTTGGAAAATAAAAACAAATTACTATGCATTTTTTGTTAAAGAAGTTAAATTTAATAATCTTAACCTTGTAAATTAGCTGTAAGAACAAATAATGTCGGTCTTGCTCTTTTCATCAAAGGAGTAGTACAAGCATTGCATAGAGTTGGATTTTGATTTTCTTTTAATACTATCAATGATATCCAACAAATACGAGTAATTGTATGGTAATGCATATGAAATATATTTAAACATGAATTGTACATTATAAATTTATGTTGCAAGAATCTTTTGATGAGTTAACACATGTAAGATATTGTTATTTTAAATTGGTTACAAATAATAAAATTTGGAAACAAAGATTAATATTTTAGCTATATAATTCTTTCAAAGACTTACTTGATAAAAACAACTATAAAAACAGTAAACCATTTTAATTTATTATTATAGTTGAAAATGGTGTTGTGCATTAAACGTATGTGAAACAATTGTTTAAATAGAAACAATGTTTTATGAGTACAGAGGAATATGAATTTTTCATTGTAGAGTATAAAATTTAAATGAAATAGTTTCGTTGAAGGAAAAAAAATGATACACAATTGTTGAGTGTAATGTTGTTAGCAAAAGACCAGAATTATTTGAATTGTGCGTGTTTCTCAATTGTCATTTCCTACTCAGCTGAATGTTTCTTTTAAATCTTGCTTGTTTTGAACCAGAAGTTGAAGATGCCATTTTAATTTTGGAGGAAATTGAAATTCGGATGACAGAAAGAAAGATAGAAGAGATATTGTGTGGGAGATATATTGAAGAGTGAGAATAAGCAGAGATGAGACACAAGATGATGAAAGAGACGTTATGTCTACCTCAAGGTAATTATTGGTAGTGAGTAATTTTTGTTTTGGATGAAGCAAAATAAGAAAAATGTATCGTTTAAATAAGGAAAAAGGAAAACTAAGTATTATGGCTAATCAACCCCCTTATTAGTGCCCCATTACTTCCTAATCATTTTGGGTAATTTTTTTTTATCCAATCAATGCAATTGATTGGTTTTCCTAATTTTAGCCAATCAATCTAATTTATTTATTTCCTTAATTTTCTCCAGTGTTATCAAATATAATTTCATGACTATATTTAAATTCAATTTTCAATTTTCAATTTTCAATTCAAAATTCAAATTAATTTTATTAATTTGTGTGTGACCCATATAATTTAAATTTTTTAAAAAACTTGCTTAAGATGAAAAGTTTAATCTTTTCAAAAGAATCCAAATCATTGTATAAATTATACGTGGCAAAACTTTCCATAGAACGACTCTGAATTGTAATATAGTACACATATATTTTCACTTTGTTACAACAAAATAATTTTTTTTAATATATAATTTGACTTAACATATGAACTTGCCAAACTATTTAAACCTAATTTAAAATGTGGGTCAAAACGAGTTGAACTCGCCCCAGGGTGGATTGGCCCGTTGGATTTTCTTTTTTACTTTTTTTATTTTAATAAAATATTATTCATTGACTCTTTTATGTATCTCTTTGGTCCTTTTTTTTTTGGTGAAAAAATATCTCTTTGGTCCTTATTTGATACATTTTACTTCTCCAGGCAACACAAGTTTTCAAACAATTTTTGTATTTTCAACATATAGATAAGGTAGGGTGAGATGAGTTGAGATTTTCAACCCATTTTTAAAAGCAGGATATGATACGAATAATTGCACATCTAACATATTGGTCAAAAAGCTTTTTTTTAATCTTTTTTAGAAAAATAAACGATAAATATGATTTTTTGAAATTTGCTTTGATACCAAATATCGTGAATATGATATCACATTGAGAGTTTAAAAAAATAAAGGGAAAAAGGAAACTATCAAATATAGCTTGTTTTATTTTAATCAGCATTAAATACTCTTAAGAAGAAAAAAGAAAAATTTCCTTAAATTAAATTATTTAATTACAAATCAATCAATCTTAACACATTTAAAATAAGGAAATAATTTAAATTAATTCAATTCTAATAATTAAAAAAAAAGTTTTTCAAATCAATCCCGCTCAAAGTATATTACAAATCCGAGCCCTCGATAGATGCCATTAATTATTCTAAAGAAAATTAGAAATAAGAAAAAGAATCATGCTTTTAAAAAGTAAAGAATCAATTCTCATTTTTTTTTGTTTAATGATGGGATTTTTTTAATTTTGTTGGTTTGTGAAAGGGAAAAAAACGGAACAGTGACCTATTTGCCTCATTTTAAAAAAATAATTACCTAACTACCACGCGAACAGTAAAATTTTCCAAAATGCCATGCGTATAAGTTTGCTACAGTAGGTAGCGAACTTTGTTTGCTGAAGTGCGTTATGAATGTCAGCGAATTAGGTGAAAAAAATTTATATTCCCAACGCATGTCCCTTCTTTCTTTGTGCAGTACAAGTTCTCTTTTTCTAACAACTCCATTGCCAATTTTCTCTTGCGGTGACGTCTCCAAGCAGCTTGTATAAAGCAAGTCCCTCCACCGAAGCTCTCCACCGATGGGAATAGTACCTGAAAGCATGTTGGAGTTTCTTGCTGTGGAGGCGCTTAAACTGGCTGGTTACAAATTTGAGGTCCTCATCTCTATGTGCAAATGCTTCAACTTCAGTGAGGGTTATAGCTGTTCGAGCGGAAGATGGAAGGTTAAGACTAGAAGTTGCCATCAAGGCCCATGTTAACAATTCTTCACCACAAAAGTCACCGCAAAAGATAATGGAGTTGTCACAACGAAGGGACATGCGTTTATTACACCTAGTCACCACGAGAACTTGTACTGCACAAAGAAAGAAGGGACATGCGTCGGGAATATAATTTTTTTTCACCTAGTTCGCTGACATGCCTAGCGAACTTGGGAGAGGCTGACACGTGTCTTATTTTTGCTCAGAATATATTTTGATCACCTAGCTCGCTACTACCAGTAGCGAACTAGGTGGCCACATCAGCAAACAAAGTTCGTTACCTACTGTAGCGAACTTGTACGCGTGGCATTTTAGAAAATTTTACTGTTCGCGTGGCAGTTAGGTAATTAAAATTTTAATTTGTGGCAAATGGGTCACTGTTCTGAAAAAAACACGGTTTGTGACTTTGTGTGTTGAAGGTTTAGGGAAAAGTGTTTGTTATTTTAAATGACAGAAAGTTATGTCATTTTAAGAGAGATACACACACAGTAAAATTTGAATTTTAAATTAAAAAAAACCACCCACTTTCTTTCTCCCATGATTTCTGTTTTTCTGTGTCTATCAATTTTAAATTAAAAAAACTCCCACTTTCTCTTTCCCATGATTTCTATTTTTCTGTGTCTATCTGACATAACTTATGAAATGAGAAACACCACACCCATATATATAATTGGTGGTGGTGGTGAATGGGAAAAAAAATAGAAAGGGAAATGGAAAAGGGTGAGGAGAAAAAGCAAAGGTTAGGGTTACACATCCTTGACATTCCATGTGTGACATCATGTTAAAGCTGTCACCTAGGTCAATCATTCGTTGCAGTTGCGTTTGCACTTCTCTCAGAAACCTCGTTACTGATTCACGCTTCCAACACCTCTTCTCTTCACAAGCCCCAACCTCAGTTGTTGTTTTCTCACCCATTCAGCGTCTCCTCTGCCTTCTTTCCTCTCCGCTTTCTAATCATGCCTCCTCCTATTCTTATTCCTCTTCCCCTTCCTCTCGTTTCGCTTTCCAATCTTCTTCATCGACCTGTTCCTGTTGTCCTAGCGCAATTGATCCAATTCCCCCCAATCACATCCATAACCATAACCATAACCATAACCATAACCAGGGTATTGCTATTGCTACTGCTACTGCTACTGCTACTGTTACTGACTGTGACAGAAGAAGGTTCATTACACTCCCGCCCCTCCTCCTACCTATGACTTTGGTCAACTCTAGCAATGGCCTTTTATGTTTACGTGCTTCTCCTTCTCTTTACTATATCTGCAACCCATTGTTGGGTGAGATTCTGTGTCTTCCCCCTGCCCCAATTGCTCCTCATGAATATCTTCAATTTTCTGCTTTTGGCTTTGATCCCCACACCAAGCACTGCAAAATCCTTCATCTGGTGTTGAAATCGAATACAATGGTGGCTAAATTGTACCAATTAGGGGATGAGACGTGGAGTGTGATTGAGAATGCTTCTTCCGCCAGGCCTAATAGTGTATTTGATCCATCACTCAATGGTGCTCTTCATTGGATCACCGATGCCCCCCATGTTTCTGAATTGATATGCTCCTTTGACCTGCAAAGCAACGAGTTCAAATCGGTGGCACCACCGTCCCACTTTGATGTTGGGTATGTGAATAAAATCTCGGGCCTCTGTGTTGGAGTGTTAAAAGGTTGCTTGTGTTTGTGTTATGTGAATGAGGGTGCACGGTTTGAGACGTGGTTGATGGAAGAGTACGGGGTTAAGGAGTCTTGGACTGTGGCATTTAGTATTGACATCCACTCTTATTGTGGATTGAGGCTCGACAATGAGCATGCGCCAATTGGATTTACCAGTTCTGGGGATATGTGGTTCGTAGCTGATTCTGATTCCGGTTCCCATTGTCTAGTCTCCTATACTGCTGAAACAGGTGCCTTTAAAATCATTGATATTGGAGGCATTACTTTAAAGATTGAAGCCGCACCTCATGTTTCGAGCTTTGTTTCGCTTAAGGACATTATTAATGGCAGGGATACACATCTCCCATTCCATATGGTAAAACTAAACAAAACTGATGCCTTTGGATTCAATAGTTTTGATGCTTTTTGATACTTAGAACTAGCGCAATCAGCAATAAATTTCTTGCATTTCTATTATTATTATTATAGTTCTACTCGCTTTGAGAAGCTCTAGTATTATGTCCTGCTCCCTCTTTCACACAAGCTATGGAATTTATATATATATAAAACTCGGAAGGGAGTTTCATTTTGACTTATCTATATTGATTGACCGCCTCCCTTATTTCTTGCGTAGCAAAGACCACTATTTTTGGCTTTGGATCTTCCAAATTATTCCCACAAGAGGTCTGGACCCATTTTTTTATGATCCTATATTAAAAAGATTCATTTTCTTCGTAAACAGAGGGGAGGTAAAACCAATAAAGATTTTTTTTTTTCTATTCATCCCTGAAGTTGAATACCTCATTCAAGAATTGTTTTTGATCCAAACCGAAAGAATCAATAGAAAAGGCAAATTCCTTATGATACACCAGATCCGGCTCGGTTATTGATAGAGTTAATAGATCTGCCAGTTCTTGTAATCTCTCTATTCAAAATCATGGTACAACGTGTATCCCCCTATTCTGGAATGGAATAGATGAAATAAACCAAAAAAATGTGTGTCATTTGGTCCTTTTTTTTGGGACAATATGCGGTGGCTTCATCTTTCTATTCTGCAATTTCTTGTGAATGCTCATGCACTTGCTTTCTGAGCTTATTGCTCCGATCGTATGGGTAGTTCTTCGAGACATTTCTGTTTTAGCGATTCATGAAATCCAATAGCTATGCCCGTTAGTGGCGCTATTTGATAGTCTCTCCACTTTGCATTGATATGGGGATAAAAATGGAGATGAAAAATAAAAATAAAAATCATAGAATCACTTTTATTGGTGGAGATTGTATTGAAAACTTTTCCATGAATTTTTTACCCTTATTTTTTCCCTATATCAAATTCAATAGATATTCAGTCCAACACCCGTTATAATACGCCTTTATTATTAGTACACGGCTTACGCTAAAAGAAATATGTCAAAACTTTTTTTGTGGAAGATAGCTGCAGTTTGTGTAAAACTTCTAAGCGGAATTAGCAAAGTTTGATGACAAAGTTCGGTATAGGTCTAGTTGTTACCCTCTTCATTAACATGACATTTTTTGTGTCTGCATTTGGAGAAACTTCTAATCATTCAAAAGAGATAACATCAGATATTAAACAATGCTTTGATGAGAATTATCTTCATGGAACCCAAATCCTAATTTTCATTCATTAATAATAACTCATGGGCATAAAGAAACTCTGGTGCTGATTGTTTAGCAACTATCCGTGGACAATAGTTTTAGTTAACACTTTGCGCTATAATGAGAAGAAGAAGGATAATTTTTGCATTACAGCAAGCTAGCCTAACCGGGTCATTACTCTGAAATTTTACTTTTAAAGATGTAAGCTAATGTCAATCGAATTACTGGACTCGAAGGAAGCTAATGTCAATCGAATTACTGGACTCGAAGGCTATAGTTTTTTCCTTTTTCCTTCTGCTGATTTATGTTTTGTTCTATATAATCATTCTGATTTACTGCTATTTCTTTATATCTATAATTGAATTTTCCATGTAATTGATTGGTCATAAGCTTTTCTGTCAGCTAATGAATTGGTATATATGACTTGTTTACAAAATTGAAGTGGTTTAGCAAATTTGTCAGGACCTCCCAGTTGCACCTAAAACTTTGTTTTCTGAAATTTTAAAATGTATTGAGAGTTATAAAAAAAAAAAAGACAGACATTTCGACCTTGTCAAAGACAAAGCAAACCAATATTAAGACCTATATGTCTCATGTAAAATTAATGTTAATATGATTTAAGAAAAAAAGGCAAAAAAGTAACATTGGTGAAAAAAGCATGTAAAGTTATAAAATTACACTCGGTGGGAACATGTAAAAAAAGCAAATTTTTTCAAATAAATATAGAAATGTACATGTTACCTTCTTATATCCATAAAATTAGAGAACGTAAGAATGAAAGGAGAAGAGATAGAGAAACATTTTTTCGTAATCAAAGATCTTTGATTCTAAATTATCATCTTCAACAATCATGGATAAAGATTAGTGAATTCTAATATTGATTAATTATGTGAAGACATAAATTCTCACAATCCATAGTGTTCTTGTATGATGAACCCTAAAATAGAGGATACAAATTTTTTGTTTACATGCAATATCGAAGAATGGTTTTGAGAAATTCATTTTTTCCTTAAATAATTCATGGATTGTTGAACAAAGAAATCATGGATGTTTGACGATGGGTGTTCATGTTTGAATCATGATATAATTGAATTGGAAGAAATGCAATTCTTGATAAAACATGAGAATGTAACGATCTTGAAAGTTTTTCATTGGATTCATATGATTTCAAATAAATGATTTCAAATGGGTATGCATGAGAATTTCCTGATACAATTCATCTTCAACTCATTACCGACTGAATATGATCTTTTTCCAAATGAACTATAACATTACGAAAGATAATAGAATGTACATGAACTACATATTATGTGATTTCAAGTGGGGGTGCACATGAGAATTCACTGGTGCAATTCATCTGGAATTCATTAGTATGGTCCATTCCGAAAGAACTATAGTACCATAAAAGAGAAATGAAATATACATAAGCTGCACAATATGTTAGTTCAAGACGAAAACAGACTCTAAAAATCAATTAGAAAGAGAAGACATTTCCGCCTTGCTAACAGAGGCAACCAAGAATGGAAACAAGTAAATTGTGAATGCATACACAATAATGTAGCCATACATTATTCAGGAAGTGATGAAGAACACAACATAGTCTGAAATTCATACATTCAAGGGTGCCAGTTCAATGTCAATATAAAGCTTATTAACGAACATTCGAAAAAGGGAATGCGATGATGGATTGGAGTCAAATAGTTCTTAGTGCTCCACAGTTTCCACCTGCAAGAGAAATGTGTGTGCTCATAAGCAATTTGCAGAAAAGAAATACTTCATGAATGAATTAAAGAGAAAGCTTGGAACAATACAGTCACCAACCAGTTACAACATATTTGATGCACAAAAGAGAATATTTTGTCAAATATTATTATTATTATTATTGTTCGAAAAACAGCCCTTGGGCACAGGGGTTCCCAGTCATGTTCTACAGAATTAAAAATTTATTATAAGCCGTTAACACAGTAAACCTCAATTGAAGTGCAAGACTATAGATCCTGGTAGCACATCAGTAAATAATAATGAAAAATTCGGTTAGAATGAGAGGCGTCAGAATCATAAGGAGAAAACCAAATAAATGATTCGTGAGAAAAGTGAAAAAAGAGAGGGGAATATAGGTGATTTGAAATAGAATCGGGAACAGGAGGTACGTGGTGCGAAGAAGGAGCATGGATCCTATTGTAGACTTGTTCGCCGACGAGGTAGATGCCAAAGGCGACAAGGGCGATGCCAAGGCCAGGGGTGGCGTGACGGAGCTGATTGGTAAGCATAGGATGCTTCCTCCATTCGTCCCTCCTCCTGAAGAACTCTCCCGTGTGTTGTCCTCTTCCTGATCCCATTTCCTTCGCTTCTCTCCTCTCCTCTCCTCTCCTCTTGTTAACCCTAAGTAAGTGCCCCTCTGTCCGTATCACTCTCGCTCTCACGCTCTTCTCTCTTCTCTTCTGATGATATCCAATATTTCATAAATAAAAAAGTTACAGATATTTTTATATTCATTCTTTATTTCATCATGCTCAAATTTAAATGTAAATCTTATTGTAAAAATAAAATAAAATAAAATAAGGTACTAAAATAAAAATAAATAATATACTTCTATCTCAAAATTAAGAATTTATGGCTATAATGAGATTTAGGGGGAAAAATTGCATTCTGTCATTCACAATATCTATTATACATGATATTTTTACGCCAGTGTTTAAAAAAAAATTAACACTTAATTTATGAGTCATTAATTTTGATATATATATATATATATATTGACATATTACATAATAATTATTAATTTTGTATATCTCCCTTGCGATTTTAAATATTTTTCTAGAACTTTATTTAAATTAAAAAATACACGTAAATAATTGGTGTTCTTACATGAAATCCATAGGAAAGTTTAATATTTTGAAATATATAAGATATAAAAGTAGGGATAGGATATTGTGACACACAAATAATATTATGCACAATGTTACGATCACATCTTAACCGTTGATTTCTGACAATCAAAGGTTACCATTTATTGCGAATTAATAATTAATTAATGAATTTGATTTGAAAAATGATAACCGTTGATTGACGGAAATCAACAGTTAAGATGTAGTCGTAATATTGTGCGTAACATTATCTGTGTGTCACGATTTGTTGAGCAGTATGATTGTGAATAGAATACATTGAGATTCAGAGAACTAAAAAATGAATCTATTATGAGTCATTGAATATTAGTGTTGTCGTGTATTGCAGTGAGTATAGTCTAAGAATCTTCTTCCATTACCAAGTACCAACCAACCAACCACAGCCCCAATATGTAATATGATGATTGATTGAGGTTATTTTCTTTCTTCTCAGTGCCACTCACGGAAACGGAGACGGAGACGGAGATGGTGGTTATCCAGTTTCAGTTTCAACCTCATATTCGCTTCTCTTCTCATTCTCCATTCGCCTTACCCACAATTCACCAATTCCATCCCCATATCCCGATTCTACCTTCATCCTTGTCAGCTCATCAAATCCGTTTAAAGAAATTTGCAAAAAGATCAAGGGTCACTCTCTGTTCTGCACAAACTTCTCAAGTAAGTGCTTGTGCTTAGATTCAATTCAACTTACTCTGTCTGACCTTGTTACATTAATGCTAAGGTTGAGTTTGTTACGCAGGAGCAGGATTCTCATTTTGTTAGAGACAAAAGTGTCTCCGTTGTCCTACTGGCTGGAGGGAAGGGCAAGAGAATGGGTGTCAGTTTTCTTTGCTTTTTCCCAATTCATCCATAATCCCTTTTTTTACATCTAAACATTTCAATATATTACAACTTATTGTTTCCTTCCCAATTCTATTCTATTCTATTCCATTCAACATTGATTCTTTTGGATATTTCAATTTTCAACATTACTTCTGCTTCGAGTATGTTAAACTAATTAGTCTCACATACAGTTTTGCCCTCCCTCCTATCGAGTACATAGGTTTTTATATTTTGAGGATACTGATCAACTTTGTTCTAAATATCCAAATCTTATGTAGTTTCTATGTTTATTTGATTTTCTCACCAGCCACATGATTGTTTGTTGTGTTTATATCAAATAGGCTAGCATGCCAAAGCAGTATCTTCCGCTTTTGGGTCAACCCATTGCATTGTATAGGTAATGAATGACAACTGTGGAGCTCAGCTATCTAGACTCTTGCTATGTTTTTGTGGGATAGGGATTTGCTGTGTATTTGAGCTATAGATATATAGTCACAACTAATTAGAACTATATATAAATGCTTTCCGTGGACCTTCACTAAGAGTCCAAGACTGCATAATGAAAACATGATAGTACTTGGGACTGTGTTGTTTACCTTCGGAGCAGAAAGATTTGTAACTACCATGATATACTGGTTTTGGATGCAAAAGGGATCAGTGACTGACTACTGACTTTCTCAAGAATAGGCGAGAAAAATCTGCATGGACTGATCTCCGTCTGTATAAGTCTTGATGCAAAGATCCTGATTCTGACAGCGATAATGTAGTATTCCACATTGATTTTATTTGGCTTATGTTTTTACTCATGTAACTTTATATAATGTTGCATTTCTTTCCAATATAATTAAATTCGGATATGCCAATTATTTGCAGTTTCTACACTTTTTCTCACATGGTTGAAGTGAAAGAAATCATAGTTGTTTGCGATCCTTCATACAAGGACATTTTCCAAGGTTATTTATTTATTTATTATTATTTTTTTATAAAGCTTTGGTTTCTTTTGTAAACCATGTATTTGCCTCTTAGTTATTAATAATCTTTTTTTTCCCCTCAGATTCAAAAGGAAATGACCAAGCAGAACTTAAGTTTGCACTGCCTGGAAAAGAAAGACAGGATTCTGTTTACAGTGGGCTTCAGGAATGTGCAGTTTTCTTTTGTTTAATTTTAATGATGAATAATTTTCATGCATTCTCTCTCATTTTTTTAGTTTATATTTTTCTAATTTGAGGCCAGTTTTTCTTCTATTTCTTAGCTCTTCCTTCCTAATCAAAGATAATTAGTTGGGTATGAGAAACTTGACATCATGGTAAAATAACTGCAACCTGACATCTCTTTGGGTAACCAAGATCCTGGCAGTGGTTAGGGTATCAAAACTGTTAAGAACCTTGAGGTCACCTCACCACCCCAAAAGCTAGCTCAAAGGGTGGGAGTGTCCAAGGCCTTATAAACCTCACATTAGTTGCCCATACAACCAATGTGGAACTATATTTCTCAACACGCCCCCTCACACGAGAGCCCACTGGGCTTGAAGGGTGGACAGCATACAAGCCCACCTACATGTGGAAATTCCACTACAAAGAAAGTGGGAACCTTGAGGTCACCACCCCAAAAGCTAGCTCTTAGGGTGGGAGTGCCCAAGGCCTTATAAACTCCACATTAATTGCTCATACAACCAATGTGGGACTATATATCTCAACACGCCCCCTTGAACAAGAGCCCATTGGGCTTGAAGAGTGGACAATGCAACAGGCCCAGCCTACCTGTGCTAAGAAATGCCACAATGCAACTAATGTGGGACTATATTTCTCAACACGCCCCCTCACACGAGAGCCCACTGGGCTTGAAGGGTGGACAATATACAAGCTCACCTACATGTGGAAATTCCACTACAAATAAAGTGGGAGGCGGTGAGATTTCGAACTGATACCATGTTAAGAACCTTGAGGTCACCACCCCAAAAGCTAGCTCTTAGGGTGGGAGTGCCCAAGGCCTTATAAACCTCACATTAGTTGCCCATACAACCAATGTGGGACTATATTTCTCAACAAAAACCATTTTCTTGGAAATCTTTTGCGATAACTATAGAGTAAATTCATCCTTAATCTGATAAGAAGGTCTCCATCAGAAGCATTGAGTCACATTGTTGGGTGAATCAATCAGTGATGTAATGTAACTAAAATCTAATTGATTTATATGTTAAGATAATATTAATAGGTTGGCATTCTAGCCACCTGCATTTTTTATAAATTTCAGGTTTTCATGCACTCAAAATATTGGGCTGCTTAAATCTTGCAATTAATGAAAGATAGTAATTTAACTGTTATCAACATGATAACATCTGGTTTGGGTATTTGGTTGAGTTGCATAAACTAAATTGGGAAATTTTCGTAAGCATTTTTGTAGCTGATGATAATTTTGACTTGTTTATCCCTTTAACCCCCACGACTCTTATATAGCTATTATTATTAAATGCCCTTTTTCCTTTTTTTGTTTGCAGGCTGTGGATTCAAACTCTGAGCTTGTTTGCATTCATGATTCTGCAAGACCTTTGGTGTTATCAGGAGATGTGAAAAAGGTCCCAGTTGAATAAGTTTCTCTTGCACAAGTTACAAAGTGCATTGCTTTTGATTTTTCTTCGAGTTTCATATTCATACCGCAAAGTCAACAATGTTACATTAGTCTTGCAAGAGTGAGATATGGAAGAATTTCTGTCTACCAGCAGTGATATAATCAGGGAAATGTCAACTTTATGTTTATGTTGATGTTAGTGTCACTGGTTTAATGGAACATGAGCTGAAGAAACTGTGCTTTATTATTAGCACCACAGTCACACTAGAGTCTACAGATTATGTTCAGGCTCTCGTCATCTTTGGAATTAAATGACCTGAGGCAGAGTCCTAATTTAAGTGCTCGTGTTATTTGGATCCAGTGATATGATTACCTGTCTGTACAATTTTATTGGACTTAAATGCATGTTTTGTCTGATTTTGATTAGGGCATTTTTCAAATTCTTTCCGAACATCGATTTAGTTACCTGCCTGCCCCTTCCCTGGCTAGGGGGTGGTCTCTCTGTTTGGAATTCAATGAATTCATATAAGAGGATGCTTTGATAACTCATTTGTCTTCTTTTTTAGGTCCTTAAAGATGGATTGTTGAATGGAGCTGCTGTTCTTGGTGTCCCTGTTAAGGCCACGATCAAAGAGGTAATCGCTAGCTTTTAGCATGTCAGCTCCGTAACAATTATTTTAAGTGGTTGATAATTTTTTGTTTTGTGAAAGAATTAAATTTAATTCCCCTGCCCATTGCAAGAATTCTATAGAAAATTTCAAATTCAAATGTGATAAACAACTTTATGCAAGAACCAACATCTATATATTTCCCTTCCGTTAACAGATCACAATTGAAAAGAGTTGCGGGTGCTAAACTTTTGTTGAATAAACATTAAATGTGGAGTTATGTGTCAGTTTAATTTTTAATGGGTTTAATTCAGCAGTCAGTTTAGTTTTTAATGGGTTTAATTCAGCAAACGTTAAATGTCAGTTTTATGTTTTTAAGTTTCTAAAGTTATGTGAGTTTATTGTGGTCTTAAGTGTCTTTATTGTAGAGTTACAAGTTTTGTAATTTAAAAATCTATTCTTTGAATATAAAGTTACGACTTCTATCTTAGTAAAACTTCTTTGTTTTTACTCTTCTCCTATCATAAACTTCTGTTATGCTTTCCAACAATTAATATTTATCTTTAATGTCAAACCTTATTGGTTTTTACTTTTCTCTTTGGCCCCCTTTCTCTTCTCCTTTAGTATCTTAAACAAAAATATGAGTTCATGAACATAGTTTTCCTTCCTTTCAAGTAAAAAATATTTGTCTGGTAATTTTGGTTTTTTTTTCGGTAACATTCTTTTTCCTTTTCCCTGTTTGTGTTGGATCTGTGTCATGCTTAAATTTTTAAATTGCTCCTTCTAAAACAATTTCGGTGTAACTTTAAGTTAAAAAATTGTGCAGAGATTGAATTCAGTTGTTCCCTTCACAGTTATGTAACTGTTGCTCAACTATGGACAAGTATTGAATCTCAGTTGTATCTTTGTTTATACTTCATTAATGTAGCAATAACTATAAGCATAATTGTTCGTAGCAGAATGCTTTCCGATATAGATTGAAATTTTTATTCTGTGGTTGGGCACAAATATTCATTTAATTTAGTTAAAACACTGGAATCATAGTAAATTTGTCTACCAATCTTTCTGCAGGCAAACAGTGAATCATTTGTAGTTAGAACACTGGACAGAAAAACCCTGTGGGAGATGCAGACGCCCCAGGTCAAAATTGCAAAAAATAATATATATCTCATTTATGTTCAAGAGCTTAATCAATTACTTAGATGCTTATCCGTTTTTACAGGTTATCAAGCCTGAGTTGCTAAGGAAAGGCTTTGAACTTGTAAATAGGTAGTTTCTTACTCTTATGCTTAATTTAACTGCGAATGCTTGTACACATTAAAAGAAGTGTCTTATTCTTATACATTTATTTACAAACTTAAAGAATGAAAATATTCTATCATACTGTTTATGAACCAGAGCAATACAGACACATGTTACGGCTGGATGAGTCACCCACTGTTAAATTGGAATATGTAGTAACAAGTACATATAATTTGGTTTTATTATTAGCAACAATGATGAGAAAATACATTGTCTTTCAGAATTCTAACTGCTATTTTATGCGCAACCCTCCTTGCAGAGAAGGTCTTGAAGTTACTGATGATGTGTCCATTGTAGAGCACCTTAAACATCCTGTTTATATCACTGAAGGATCTTATACCAACATCAAGGTAGTCAAATTTCCACCTATATCTTCTCTCTTGGATGCTTGTTGGTTAGCCATTTTTTACATATTACATAACCATACAAAGTTTGTATTGTAACTTCATGATATGTGTGCATGTACTACTGCTACCATATGACCCACATTGCCTGATTAAGTCCGTCCCAGAAAAACGTATTTGGGCTTAAATTAAAAGAATTGATACCTGAAAACCTTGGGCGGGATAACTTATCTTGGGTTGAACCTAGGTACCCTGACCCAGTTATAACTAGTTAATATTTTTTAAAACTTATTTTTTTGATGAATTTGACTTGTTTCTTGGTATCAATTTCTTGGATTTAATTTGCTTACATACACCTTTGCCAAAAACAAAATAAAATATAAAATTTACTTATACTGACACTAGCATTGAAACATATAGTGGCGCCTGTTTCTTAATATACAAACTCATATTAGGAACTGTTTTGCAGGTAACTACGCCTGATGACTTGTTACTGGCAGAGAGAATATTGAATATAAATTCTTGAGAGACTTTAGTTTTGCCATTTCACCTGTAAAGGGAAATCATTCTCAATTAAATTTTCCATAATATATTGCTTTTGGTCCTGCAAGGTGCAAGCAATCTCGCAGCACACTTGTAAACAAATTGAGTTACTTTGTATGACTTTTATAGAGATTTGTGTAAAAACACATGGGAAATGTTGCTTTAAACAAGGGAAATGTTTCCGCATGGAAGCGACAACACACTCGAATCTCACAAGAAGTAAAAGGATTATTCTAAATGGTGCTTAAACTAATATTCACACAACTGGTGATATATTAGCCATGTTTATATTCAATTTCTGATCAAAATAAAATTAATTAAGTTTTTAAGATAATGCATTTAATTTTTCAATGAGTAGTTTTTGTTAACAATGATTGCAATCTTAAAAGTTTAAATTAATTTATCCTCAATGAAACAATGAAATTAAAGTACACATAAGGTATGTTGAATAAGCAAAGAGGCAGCAAAAGAAATTCAAACCATCGGACTTGGTGATTGGTAATTTGGTAGTCTTGGTTGCGTCGACAATGACAAAATGCCCAATTCAATTTTGCGATGAATGATCAAAGATGCATTCTCAAAATAAAATATCCTATATTTTAGAAGATGAGTAATTTAAGTAAATAATTATTAATGAGACAGTTAGGTGCAAAGCACAAAAGAAAGGATATGCTTGAAGACGATGTCATCTCTATTGGCAAATGGACGGGCACTTGTCACATTTTAAGCAATATAGTAAGTTCTGAACCTGCAATTGCAATTGCTTTTGAATCAAATTAAAGTTTAGCAGTGATGGACAAAGTACCTTTATCTTTATGTGCACGCACGCTCCTCGGCCCTCGCTCACACTTCGCTACTTCCACGCCACCTATTATTGCTTCTCGACGATAATCATTTTTTTGCCACATTAATCTAACTCATTTCCCTCTTCTTTTTTTAATATACATATATAGACGGGAGGGACAATATCAATTGGAACCATGTATCAAACTTCATATTTATATCAAATCTCGTCTCTCTATTTTACTTCCATTCAAAAATTAAAATTATTCGTTAAAATAATCATGTGACCTTGTTTTTATTTTATTCTCTATTTTAAGACTAATACTTCTAAATTCAGGTTTGCCATAGCACGGAGAACGAATATGCTTTGCAGGGACTAAAGAAATAAATATTGGCCTTTGTTTCAGCAATGTCAATATCAAATTGTGATGGATTAAGGAGGAGTTCCTCTAGCGATAATACTCATTGCAAGGTTCCAAAACTATCATGGTTCCCTAATTGCTTAAGCGAAAAAAAAATTATTGAAAGAGTGAGGAGATTCTACAAAAACATATCGTAAGTTAAAATGTCCGTCCAAGGAGAGAAGAAAATAAACACATTAAAGTCACAATTGTTTCAGTGAATAAATATTCACCTTTGGATAGAGGTAAAATTGAAGGAAAACATTTGGTATAACTATAAAGTTTTAAGCCCATGTTAAATATTAATCAATCCTTTCCGTATATATATAAATAAACTCCATGTGTGAGATTCTTGTGTTAGATCCCTTGGGTACTAGCCAACAGATTTGAAAGTTGATTTGACTTCTCTTTACAATAGATAAGTTTTCAAGGATATAAAAACAATTATTAAGGAAATTACGATTTTGTCAAAAGGAAACTCAAAAGGTTTCAATGTTGTTCTTTATTAGTTCCTTAAGTAAAGGATGGAGCAAAAGGAACACAGAAGTTGAAGCTGCTGAACCGCATAACCTTCACATTTCACACTCGCATCCTTGAAGAATGGCTAGAAGAAAAGAAAAGAAAAAAAGTAGAGAAAATTTTGAAGAAAAAAAAAGTATATATATATGGAGAACCAATATTGGATAAACTAAACCTACTTATCTTCTCCGTTCCTTTCTCTTTGGCTTACCACACTCACCAAACAATGCAAAACGCCCAACTTTGCGCGCTCCTACGGGGGTACCTTTGACCTGCTTACAACAGAATTAGACATGTTTGTTCAGAGTCTCAAACAAGAACTTGTTATAGGGAAATAAAAAAGAAAAGAATAGAATGAAGTTACCTTTACTACAGTAACTACACTTCTAGGCTTGGAGTTATTCCAACATAAAAATCCACAACATCCGGCTCCGGGGGCTGATTCATATCCCCTACAAAAACAATGGCAGTAAGTAACAAATAAAACAAATTAGTTTTGAAATAAGCAATCAATTTTATAAGCCTCTTCTTTCACACTTCCCTTGCACTCCCATGCAATATTTTTTCATTAACTATCACTCAGACATCCTCACTTTAAAATATCAACCAATGGTGCAAATGAGAGTTTGAGAAAAAATGCATGTAAGTAGTGTCTTTCTTCAGACACGCGAATTTTTTTTTCTTTACATCAACCATGTGAAAACCAAACTGCAGCAAACCATCTTTTCAGTTATAAAAAAAAAGACAGAAAATTGTGATTACCAAGCTGCAGGAACTTGTATCAGATTATAGAGCTTGAGTTGTAGGTTTTTGTTTTATTATTTACAGAAAATAAAATAAAAATGAAGCACAAAAATCAGGAATTACAAAAGAAAATTTCAAGATGAAGTACTCAAACATGCTAAACCCCAGAATAGAAGTTACAGCTGCATCCCGTGGGTCAGCTAATTTCCAAGAAAATCTATCAGCAAAGTTCACAATATAGAAACTATCATTTGGAAAATTGATTCAGTCCATGAGTGCAATCATTTCCATAGGTTATAGATAGATCAGGAGAATAAGAAAAATATTAATACTGAATTTTCAGTAGTTAATGGCCAGATGTCAGATGGATGCCATGTGAAGTGGCAAAGAGCAAAAGGCTGCAGACAGAGCTAACAAGTGCACATGCCAGTTGCTGGAGTGTGGGTATATTTGCATGTATCAACTTCAAGAAATCAGATACTGGAGTTTTATACCACCATTAAAAAGCAACATTTAAAATACCATAAGCATGCATGTCAACCATAATAACTTTCACTTAGGTTATATACCACCATAGAATTAACTAAATACAAAGTCTAAACTATATCCCACTCTTTACAATTATTAGTAATTTTACCCCAACATTCAACCACTTCCATGTAATTTGTTAAGGGAAGAATTCAATGAGTTTCAATAGCAACAGCAAAAAACAATTCTGCACATTTCTATGCAGGCAATGGAATCTTTTTTTCTGTTCAAAGACAAAAATATTTCACTTTCCTAGAAATTAATTTATGCATCCAAGAATCATCTTGTGACCATGAGAACTACTTTGTCCACCCAGAATCATGTAAGGAATTCACCATGCAAAATTGAAGAAAAAACTTACAGATTGTCTTTTCCAGAGATTGTTGCTAAACTGCTGTCGTGTAACAAACTTGGGGACATGGGATAACGATCTGCCCTTTTACCAATCGGATCCATCTGCACATTCCTTCCATTTTTAGCACTCAAAATTTTAACTTCATTATTCAGGTCATCTTCCCAATGCAGATGAGAGGCAAAATTAGTTGAATCCTTGGACTCCAGTGGGTCTACACCATCGATTCCATCCTGGGGCAGGACCTGATTCTTCTCGGGTCTCAAACGACTCAATGATCCAGGGGAACCCTTTTCTACAGCCTGTAACCAGGCAGTTTCCAGCCGCTGCTCGCGAATGATGGATTCAATCCTCTGCATTGGATTATCCTGTCTCCTCTCCCTCACACCATCTCCTTCAGCCAGAATATCTGACGAATCAGTAGCAGAATGAAGGTTTCTATCCAGTAAAGGAGGCAAACTAGAATAAGAATCTGTTCCATTCATATGACTTCTTTGTTCCTTCTCATTTACCACTGTTGACTCTGCCTGCTTTAGACCTAGTAGATTAACCTGATTTTCACCTTCAGCATCAGGCAAGTGGACAATTCTGACCTCCACATGGCGACTAAGAACCATTTCCATGGAATTTGTAATGCTTTTCAAAAACCTCTCAGCCCTAAGTTTAATATCTACATCCCCAAATGCAACATATGCTACCAGAACACCTGCAAAAAGAACTATATTAGGAGAGGGGGGAACTATACATTACAAAACAAAAGCTGACTTTTAGTAATAAGGAGCAAAAGATTAGCATTAAATGAGGGGAAAGAAAAAAGAGAGATCTGATACTGCAAAGCAACAATGAAAAAGGAGTTAAATCTCGAGTAGAGAAGGTAGGGGTGTGAGGGAAATCCTTATAAGCAGCCTTGCCCTTATATATTTGCAAAGAGGCTGTTTCGCGGATTCGAACTTGTGACCTTTTAGTCAAAAAGGAGTAGCATTAGGAGCAGCAATAATGCTGCTCCGCCTCCAGGTTCGCCCTCTCTTGAACAAGAAAAAAGGAGTAAAGATGAAATATTATCTGGTTCTGCAAAGGTATAATAATTGTGATACCTTGGTTTTAGGGATCTTGTGAGGAACCTAGTCTTATTCTGACAGATTCTATCTTATCTTAGTAAGTTATTTGTTCCTTAATTTCATTAGGGTTAGGAATCCAGTACTTAACCTGATTCCTTTTGTCTCCTCTACCCAAATCGTATAATTTCAACAACCACACTGAATAAATATCTATTAAACTCCTACTAGTTACACTTACAGCCAAAACGATTAAGTTCTAATGTTCTATCAGTAATACACATTCTACCGATCATCAGTGATGGGATCCGTTTTCTTGACAACATAAATTCAATTCAAGTTGACCTACTTTGACCATGTTATGTATCTCAAGTGTCAATAATCTTCTTTTAATAATAGAACTAGACATAACTGAAATTAATGAGAAAAGTATGAAGAATCATTTCTGAAAATCAAGTAAAATCTCGTTTTGATTAGTACACACAAGAGCAACCAATTAGGAGACAATCAATGGATAGCTGTCATTAGTAACAACATGCATTAGTGAATTATGGGCTGCTTTAAAGACTTTGAATACCAAAGCTATAAAAAACATCTGGTATCTGGTTGTCTAAAAACAAAAAGCTTAATACAACTAGGTATGTCAGAAATGCTTATAAATACTCTTAAGCAAGAACTCCAGTTTTGAGCAAAAAATATTATCAGCTTACCTTCAACTTCACATATGGACACAAGTTTTCCATGATTGTGTAGAAGCTGCCTCAAAGTCTTAGAGTGACACCTCCCCATACAACACGCCCAGATTTCACACAACTTCCCTGAATCTATGCATCTAAACATCCTATTCCCCACCATAAGATCATCAGATGAGACCAGTGTGGAGCCATCATCAATGATCGGGCTATTTGGCGGCTTTGATTTCAAGCTGAAACCATCAATCTTTGAGGATATATCCTTTTGATGGCTGGAATTGCCATTTACTGCTTTTTGCTGGGATGCAGGGGATGTTGATCTTCGAGGCATATATTGAAGGTCTGACTTGTGTTTGCAAGTAGTAATGTCTCTTGAAGAACTTGATGGATCATCTTCAGTTGTCTTGCAGCTCTGCCTCCTGCTGCTGCCAGACTGAGTAAGATCTGGAGAAGGCATAGAACCAAGCTGTAACAGAGTTGCTGTGAACCATGTTGAGCGTTCACTGGAAGTCCTTAACTGTTTCTCAGCCTCGGAGAGAAGCTTCAAAGAATTTTTTAACCTCTCCAACTCTGATTCATTCACTGAGCATGAAATCCAAATGTGCATCTCAATAATCATTAAAGGGTTGTGGGATTTTCATTATTATAACATACAATGACAATCAAAAGGGATTCAAAGCACCACGAAAGGGCAGTAAAGAACCAGAAAATGTCAAAAGCAGGTATCACAATCGCTAAACATTTAGCATGCTAATAATGTGTATCAAAGCCTAAAGGTCACATCCACAAAATAAGAGTTAGGAAGCAAACTCAAACAGCACTGTTGAAATTCATTAAACCAGAGTACTTTTTTTAATGATTTGACAGTTTTCCGGATGACAATTGTGAAGGTCCATTAAATACAAAGTAAAAGAACATCTTAACATAAATAAATGAGAATTTGTGCAGTATAAGTCTATTTGATTTGCTAAAAAGTAAGGGGGGGCAGCACAATGAAAAACAAAATTATACTTTGTTTGATTTTTAAAATAGTCCAACTACTGGACAAAAAGCAGTGGGACAGCAGAAAACACTGAATTTTTGTTTCTCACTGAACCAGGTAACAAAATTTTGTCCACAACACAGAAAAAGACCGTTAACCTGTGGTCCTTCATTTTCTCAGCCCGATTGCACAAATAGCAAACAGAGTGTATTATAATTAATTTTGTGTTATTATGACTAGTACTTATTCATATCAAACCCCGAATAGCAAAAAAATTTCTATATTGTTCATTAGTCATCAAACAACTAACAATACAAGAAATTATCCTATGACTCAACTACTTAGGCGGTTCTGTTTGTGTTATTGCTACGTATGCATCAAACGCACCCCATTAATCAAATAACACACAGCCTCCACGGTGGCTTTTCATGCAGAACTCAACCTGGACAATAAATCAGTAGTATAAACCACTTCCATTAACAAAAAACAGTAAGTCACATCATAGCAAATTATATGTTTCACTGAGCCAAATACACTGAATCTATAAGCTCATGATATAACAGTATCATGTAGCAACATGATGCTCTTGGTTCATGTTTGCCAATATCCTGTCTGATTTAGATGATTGTAAATGAAATTTTCAGATACTCTTAAACTTTTGAATGAGAAAGGGCTTTGCACTAAATAACACCTATGAAATTTCACCATATCAATGCCAAATTACGATGAATAAATCAAAACAGGGATTGTACTCACAACTTCGTCCACCAAAGAATGAATCATCTGGTTTGGCATCAACGACCGTATATGATCCAGCAATGATGTCCATAATAAGGCCAGCTAGTTGAGACATCAAAACCATTGGATCAACTCCAGAGTCCATCAATTCTCTGGCTCTTTTCACCGTCTCTGCAGTGTCTGATGACATTGCCAACTCCAAAAGTTCCAATAATTTTTCATCTGAAACAACTCCCACCTGTTGCAGGCAATATAAAACAGCATTGTGTTTGAATGTTATCCGTGTACCAAAAAAAAACAAAAAAAAAAACTTTGGCAAATTCAAAAGCATTATTAGAAGTGATACATTTTCCAATTAGGTCAAAGAATAATAGTCATAACAAACTCACAAGTTCATTGACAAGAGAAGTAGTAATTCTTTTTCCAAGCAAACTAAGCTGTTCTAACATTGTTTCTGCATCTCGAAGGGAACCATCTGCATTCATAGCAATGAGGTCCAGTGCATTTGTTTCAACATCGAGGTTCTCCTGAGTAGATATTTTCCTCAACCTGGTCACAATATCCCCATCTTTAATTTTATTAAAAAGGTACTTCTGGCTTCGAGATTGTATTGTTCGTGGCACATTGTCGAGATCAGAGGTTATAAATATGAATACAACTCGTTGAGGCGGTTCTTCCAGAAACTTGAGAAATCCCAGCCATGTCTTGGAGGGTAACAAGTGACACTCATCAATAACAAAAACTGTATATCGTGAAGAGGCCGATGATGACCCAATTGACAATCTTTTTAGTAGATACCTAGCTTTATCAATTCCTTTCTTATTGGTTCCATCAATCTCCAGTAGATCACTGCTCTTGCCAGAAATGAAATCAGCACAGTCCCTGCAGTAACCACAAGGCTTATTACTCTCATCAGGAGCAGCACAATTCAAGGCAGCAGCAAATATCCTAGCTGCTGATGTTTTACCAGTCCCACGGGGACCTAGAAAAAGATAGACAGGAGCAATTCGGCCCCTCGAAACTGCATTGATAAGTGACTGAACCACAATATTCTGCCCAATCAGTTCTCCAAAGAACATGGGCTTATACTTCTGGCTGAAACTCCTATTTTCTGGTGTGCCTTCATCCTCCCCTTCTCCATTGAGAGCTACAATCTCCAATCCCTCCTGACTCCTACAACTTGATGACCACCTTCTTCCATCCAATCTGCTCAAGCCCTCAAGATCAAGCTCCCCGAAGTTTGTAGAAAGTTCATCATCACTCCTACCAGTTCCTATAGATGAACCTTCTCTAACATCACCACTGTTAGTGAGCAGTGGAATAACACCTCGAGCACTCCTCGAAGGAATTCTCCGTTTGAGGGAGGCCGAAGAGGATCTCCGGTGTCTTGGATAAATAGTTTGACCTCCACAGAGTATGCTACTTCCTTTCCTCTTTAAAGTGTCCGACAGTGAAGGAGAATAACAACTTCCACACATCCCTCTATGTTTCGGTGTCCTCTTTGACCAATAGCAAGGAATTCCACACCCTTGGCGGCCAGGAAAATCCAAATTATCATCAATCTCATCATCACCATCACCATAACCATAACCATCACCATCATACACTGAGGTTGTGGTGCCATCCCAGGATCCAGCGGTGCTCGGATAACGGGGACCGTATATATTGTAAGAACTGGTTGACAATGCAGGGGTACTATAAGAGTAGGAAGAGTCTTCCTTTTGGCTTCTTTTCAAAAACTTGGAGGAAGAGCGAGACCAATTCCTCTGCTTGAGTTTCAGAAGCAAAGGAGATGTCCCTAAAACTCGTTTTGCATCCTCATAGTTAGAGTAATCTTCAGTATCATCAGAGTATTCAACCGAGACATCCCTGCTAAAAGCCATAGAAGGATGCAATGCCTTGGACTTTACAAATCTATGCTGCTGCTGCTGCTGCTGATGCTGATGCTGATGTTTTGTTAAAATATCAAAATGGGCGTTGGTTGTCTTACTCTTTTTCTTGACGGTCGCTGTTCTTCTAGCTGCTGGGGAAACAAGATTTGCATCTCCACATCCGAAAATAGAAGAACGAGTTCCACCACCCAAGTAAGTATCACTCTTTGAACCACAACCATTGCGAGCATCACTCAAGCTGTCCTCAAAACTTCCAAGAAGGGACGAAGATCCACCACCATCATCTTCTTCTTCTTCTTCCTCATTGTATTTGGCCACTACACTCTTCTCGCTCGACGATTTGTAATTCTTCCAGTTATACAAGAACACCTTCTTCTCTTTCTCTTTATCTTTATCTTTATCTTTGTCGTTGCTGTTGTGTTGAGCATTGGGAGAGAACCTTCTACTCCGAGTGGCAGTACTGTCCTTCCAAGCAGCAGCAGCGACAGATCTTGAGGAACTAAGTGGTGACTTCCATGAAGATGTTGTGCCAGGATCCCTCAATACACGAGCAGCCTTACGAATTTGGGTGAGCTCCTTCTTCAGGTGAAGCTTGCTCGGATCAGACACTCGCATTTCTGACATATTCAAATCCAAATACCCACAAACACACACACAAACACACCTTCACATTTACTTACAATAACCACCACTTGATGATTCTGTATCAAATATCAATCAATGTATACTGCAAAAATCAAAACATTGTTTGATGAGTGAGTGAAAAGAAAATACTTGTTAGGGGTGCAGCAGATCTGACAGACACATGACACGGTAGAGCCGTGTGTGAAAATGATAATAATGCCCTTCCTTCTTTTTTTGGTTGACTGCACTGCGCTGCACCCTCTCTCTCTGTTTTTCTTTTTCTTAATAATTCCTTAGGGTTTTTTTTTTAATTTTAATTATTTGGCGCCCGAAGTGAATTGTTGAATTGAATCTGTGACAGTGTGTCCGTGTCTGTCCGTATGTGGGATTCTAAATTCTTGGGTTGTTGTTTTTTTGCTTTTGATGATCATATGGTGGCCATCGAAAGTACAAAAAAAACAACATTAACATTTAACAATAACAGTATGTCAATAACATTAGAGATGAAAATGCAAAAAGGGAAAACTCCCTCCAAACACGGGGACACCTCCCAATTCATTCACAACTGGTGTCTGGTGGTGTTTGTGTGTGGGAAATGTGATTCTTCTCTTTCTAAAATGCCTTTTTCCTATCACCTTTCCCCCCTTTGATTGATTTCTGTCTTGATTCTCCAATTTTTTGACTTTCTGTCCATCTTATTACGCCCTTAATTGCAGTCATTATCTTGTACCTGATTTTCTTTTTCTTTTTCTTTTTTTAATTAGCATCATATCCATATCCATAAAGAAAAAAGTGCTTTTTATGAGGAAAAAGTTTAAAAATAAAAGGAAATAAATTGGGTATGTCTCGGGTAATTTTCCTGTTATTCACCTTCTTCATAAAAGAATAAATTATTGATGATTATTGATTGCCCTTACTTACCGATCAAAAATATATATAGCTCCGCGTCATAATCTCACTTCATGCCGTTTCATACAATTAAAAAATAATACTAATATTGATATATGACTCATTTAACAACTTAAATTCTATGTAGATAAATTTATCTGATTAAACCTGAATCTCGTTTACAGTACACGTGACCGAGGTCACATTTAACTAAGAATTACTATACTTAAATGTGAAAGGACGAATCGTGAAAACTAGCCTAAAAATATACGGAAAAAAATTTATGCGTTTAATACAGATAAATTATCTGCATTTACTTTCAAAACGATGTCATTTTGAAATTGAAAGATTAGAAAATTATAATTATAAAGACTATAATAACCTTGAGATAAATTAAAATTATAAAAATACCATGATTTCCACCTCAAAACGACGTCTTATTGGACTTATTGCAGATAACTTATCTACAGTAACGGCAGAAAAAACAAACCCAAAAATTTATATTAAAAATATGGGCTCATTTTTTCTGCAGTTACTTCAGATAAGTTATCTGTAGTAAGTCCAATACGACGTCGTTTTGAGACAGAAATCATGGTATTTTTGTAATTTTAACTTATTTCAGGGTTATTATAGTCTTTATAATTATAATTTTCTAATTTTTCAATTCCAAAACGACGTCGTTTTGAAAGTAAATGCAGATAACTTATTTGCATTGACTGCAAAAATATTTTTCTTTGAAAAATTATATTATAACTATTTCATGAAATCTTCCCCTAACCAACCACAAAGAAAACGATTTTTTTCATATAATAATTGTAAGAGAAAAAATATAATTATTTGATAGAAAAATGTTGAAAAAGGTTATTATAAAAAAATTAAATATTAAAATTTATAGGGATACATATAACCTAAAATTAAATTTATCATAAATTGAATCATCAAGTAACATAAACCGAATCAGAATCATGATTATACTAAAAAAATAAAAATTGATTTGATAAATTAAATAACATGATATAATTATTAATTAAATATGTATCCCGTAATTATATTAAAAAAAATAGTCGTTGGACTAACATAAGTATGATTTTCTACTTTTTTGGGTGTGTCATGATCGTACTTATCGTTATTACTATTTTTAAATTTTGTTGTGTACATTGAAGGCGCTTGGTGAAATAGTATAGTACCACATCGAAAGCCTTGTCCTTCATTCAGCCGTTACTGGATGCATGGGGTGGGGACTTGATCGATGTTAGTTGAAGAAGCTACCTAATGTTTTGGGAATTCTTGTGACACTTTCTGCCCTCTCAATATAAATATAAGGTATCGTAATTCTTGTATTATACCATAACTAATTTCATTAATGGCTAGCTGCCAATACTACCAGCCTACCATTCTACACAATAAATTAGGCACCCATTATTAATTGGCCTCAAAATAATTAGGCAAAACAGTGAGAATGACAAGCTGACAGTGAAGTGTCATGGTTTAAAGAATGAGTAGTAGTCTTTATCTTTCTGTTTATTTGTGAAATTTGAAAAGTAGCCACCTCTTTGACTGGACTGGAGTCTCTCTCGGTTATATATTCTTTTTTCTTAATATTAATATTTTCTTCGTTCGGATACTTCCAATCAAATACAATATCCATAAGACATATCAAACAGCTTCAATATTTTCCCTTTCTAGTTATGCGATTAATATAATAATTAAATCTGAATGTTATGATTTAGTAATAAAATAAAATAATAAACAATATTGATTACCGTATCATGTCATGATGAGGATGGTTGGTGGGTTTAATTTCACCATCGGAACATGCAAGAGTTGTCATTGCCAGATCAAATGATACTGATTACTGTTGACTAAGCAACCAGGTTCAATGCAGTAGGCATAGCATTGAATAGATTTCGTATATAAATTATTGAGATACCATCAACTGAGTTTATATAATCGATTTAAGCAGCACGAGATAAAATTGTCATTATTGGATAGGCCATATACTATCCGTTAACAAATGAAATTTGATCATGTTAGCTGCAGACCTTTTTGGTTGTGGACTTGTGGGCATTCTATGATTGTTTCTTTTTTCCAAGACTTATCCAACCGTTTAGGATATTCTCTGGCTCGTCCGTTTTCATTTGTTAGATAACAAAAACATTGGCCACATTCATTACACAAGATGCTATCGAATTACAAAGAGATTAACTCATTTCATTTGATAGATATCACATTGGTCTCATCCGTTACCTAGATCATATTCGAACCACAAATAGCTTACACGTTTGAAATCAATTTCGTTGAGATAACTAATTTATATGGACCGGGAATACATTTTAGACCACAATAACAAAATAACAAAAAAAAAAATGCATATGAATAAAACTGGGTTTACTTGCAACCATACAATGAACAAAATATTTTACACAACTTTTTTTTTTTTTGTTCATTAATAATTATGACTTGTAAGAAATCATAAAATAGGTTTATATGACATTAGAACACCAAAAAGTTTAGGCTTAGTTGTTGAAGACATGACATTATTCTTGATTTCTTGAAAGGCGCTTCTTGCTTACTCTGATGTTGCTTTCACAAGGTTTTAAAGATCATGATATGCAAAAAAGACCTAACCATATTTATTAACCCTAGTCCCATTTTCATTATAGGTCTATGGGTTAAGTTACCTACACTGATTAGCGTTACATATACCCAAACTCAATCAAAAAGATTACTAAATTAAATGGGTTTTATACTGCACCACGTATGGATCATGACTTAGCCCGCTTTTATTAAAGTAAGAAAAACTATAATTGATTGAAACTCATAATAATTATAAAAAATTCTAAGATGACTTACATTTGTTATTAAAGAAAAATGATTTGCATAGTTAATTCAATAATTTATAAAATATTTATATTTTATAATTTATCTCTAAAGAAATTATAATAGGATGAACTTTGAAATAACGGTAAGATTATTCTGTCACGAAAATCACATATAAATTTATAGAAAATAATGTTTTTTTAATAAGGATAATTTTTTTTAATCGTTAAAGAAAAAAACTAGAAATAAAGATAAAAATATGAAAATCACGTCCCCTCATATTTAGAAGATTTGGAATAAGAATTGTGAATAAGAATAAGAATATATAAATTATAAACCACCTTCTATCATATTAGAAATATTTAATTCTGATTCTGACAGATTATAATGAAATATTGTGTCAATGAATCAGAATCTCAAAAACAGAACCTTGCACTCACTATACCCAAAGGGGAGAATCCAACCAAATTTCATCAAATATCATCATGTGAAGTGAATGGGACCAATCTTCTCTTCATGTTAGGCTTTAATACCGTGGAAAAAAATTCTTGAGTGAGATCCAGTCGAATTAGCATATATTTCAAGTATGTTTCAAAAAATGTAACTAATTAAACCAGCCGATTCGATCTAGTTGTTAAAATATTAAATTCAAGTTATAACCTAGTAAGAATTTTTATACATTTGTCCTACTACCGGTGAGTATCCACTAGCAAAAGTCCCAAAACGAGAGCCTAAGGCCCCAACAAAGCAAACTTCTGAAAAGGAGTACACTCGTTGAACTTTGCTTTAGTGCATCAATGACCGGTTCACTACGTAACTAATTCAACCAGCCTTCGTATTTCTAAGTATAATGAGAATCAAAATTATGTAATTATTTTTAAAAATAATTATAAGTTAATAAATTTTAATTAATTACTTAAAAAAATAAAATTGATTGAAAAAGGTTGTTCAACAGTAAATTATTTTTAATAAAATAACGTGTCAATTAGCATAAAAATCAAGAAAATGAAATAAACAAAATATCAAAGAAGAAAACCCAATACTAACAAAAGCAACCCCAAAACCTGAGTTTTTTTTTTTTGCAATTTTTGGCTATATATATAGATATATATATATATATATATCTATATCTATATATATTAAAAAAAACCCTTCTAAACTACTTAAATCAAATAATAAAAATAAAATACAAATTCATCCAGAAGCAACAATGCCCAACCAGCTAAAAATAGAGAAAAGTCTCAAAGAAAATTGATTCAAAAGTGAACAAGTATAGTAGGAGTTTGAGTAGAAAACCCCGATTCAGATTTCCCAAAAAAAAAACCCCGATTCCTTGCACCAACTTGACGAGAGTTAGGCAGTGAAGCCAACACTAACGAACCCAAACCCATGATAAACCTTCCTCCTAGAGTTGCATTATAGCACTTGATTGACAAAGCACCATGCAACATCTACCCGATTTTTCTCATTAAACAGAGGCTGATATCGGATAAGTTCATCCGCAAGGAAAGAAGCACATCTTGTATGTTCAAAAAAGGAGACAAAAGATGCTTAGAATGCAGCCTCAGGGGTTTAACAGTAATAGGACACATTTTTAAAAAAGTACATGGAATTTAGACATCTTTGGAGAATCTTGGAAGTTAAACCAAGACAAAAAAGTGGAATGTCAGCACCCTGCTTTTTTATTCTAAACTTGACATCCTTCAATGAATACTTAAATAAGTGCACCTTGGTTCCCATACAAAGGCGTACCTCGGCCAAGAGCCTTAGGTCGAGCAGCATTCAAGTCCCATATGAGGATTACTTATTTTGGAATTGAATTCCAGTGAGGCCGCTTTACCAATTTGGTTCCCACATTAAAAAAATGCAGAACTAAATGAAACATATATTAAAATCAAAACCAGAAACTGCAGAATATATTTAAATAATATCTTTGTGGCCAATGACTACTTAAAAACATAATTCCCAAGAAAATTAGACAGTAGGAATGAACACTAGCAAAACTTGAAACTAGAACAGGCAACAATGTTTTCACTACTAAAAATGTTACCAAACATTCTAAAACCTTGTCTGTTGTTTAATTGGTATTTGGTCCAGAGGTTCAGAGCTTTCAAACTCTAGCCCTCTTGTTACTACTGCAGCTCGGGCACTTGTACTGCTTGATGTGCTCAGCCTTAGAAGGAGTAATTTTAACACATTTACCATGGAACCATATCTCACAGATATCACAACAGATCCAGAATTCATCAGTGCCATTATTATCACCGCAACCGCAAGCACCACACGTTGCACCTTGCTCATTATCCTCTTCTTCTTCTTCTCCACTCTCATCCTCTTCTTTGGGTGGTGCAGACATCTTCACTCCCTTGGCCTGAGACTCAGACTGGCGGGACTGTTAAAAGGCAGGATCCAAACAGGAAGACTTAAGTGACTTTCCACACAAGGGCAGTGATAGACACAAACTAAGAACATGAAATTTAAAACTGCATACCACCTTTCCACTTGATTTGCATTTGCTACCATTGTTATGAGCAGCCAGTTGGTCCTTTGATTGCTTAGCACTTCCCGTCACAAGTTCAAAGATAGTTGGCAGATCATTCATCATCTGAAAAAGCCTTTTCCTGTAAATATCCATTTGAACCAAAATTAGAAGAACATCCTAAATATTAGCAATATACTTTTTCTTCTTGGACTCTTTAAGGAATATGGCTTTTTCATTTTTGTTTTCTTCACACACACACACACACCCCCCCCCCCCCTCCCCCAAAAAAAAAAAAAAAAAAAACAAAAAACAAATCCTTCAGTTTTGTATTAACTAATTTTGTACTTAATTCGATATTCAATTGAGACATTGCCAACTCTCTAGTGAAAAAGGGATTCAATGGAAGACTTGAATATACCCCAGAAGAAGATAGGTAAATCCCTTCAATCTACCTAAATATAAATCAGCCGTGTACTTGGTTACTTAATGATTAATGAAGCTGCAAGCATGGCAAATGATTTTTACTAGCTAATGAAAGACCAAATTCTCATTTAAGACTATAAAAATCAGTTAGCTTTTGGAGGTTCTTACTACCACAATGGAATACTTTCAAGACTTCTAATGAAGATACAAGTTAGTGAAATGCAACGATAACATTCAATATACCTCAATGCCATACTAGATATGTATCCTTTATACCACTAAATAAACATCTAAAGCACACCTACCAATCAAGAATTTTCCAAGGCCTTCAGGTTATTAGGCTATAGTTTATCAACATGAACTTCCATAGGTGTCCTTTGTCATTTAACTTTAAACATTAATAATTCATCTTACTTACGGTGATGTAGGTACCCATATCCCAGTTCTAATATCTTAAGATCAACCAGTAAAAATTACAGTGTCATTGCCATTTGCCAGTGCTGGGCCAACGGGAAGTAAGTAGGCACTGGCCACCTTCCCTCTTTGAACCCATCCTATAATTTTTTCAATAGAAGATGATTGAGAAAATGCGCAATGACATTCTATCTAATTAATGTGTTTTTTGGTTCAAGAGACAATATCAAAACAAAAATAGATAATATTCAGTAAACTGAAATTTGAGATTCCATTCATTTACTATTGTTACATCACCAGTCACCACATCTCTGACTAAAAGCTTACTACATGGAGGATTATAACATCGAAATGTAAGAAAAAGAGGAAAACAAGTTTCATCCTAGATATTAACAAACACAATATCACCGAACTCCAAAGTTTCCACACTTCACGGTGAACAAGTTTAAACCCCAAAAAGTTCCATGTTCCATGACATGAAATGAAGGAAAACCGTGCAAGTGATGGAAATTAAAAACTGAAAGTGGAAAAAGATTATAAAGAAGAGTAGCCACACCAACACACACAAAAAGAAGAGGTTCTTGTAGACAAGCTTACAAATTTAGTGTGTAATTATTTTTACAGTTAAAAAAAGTACCAAGACCACCAAAAAGAACATCAAGAAAAATTGGCATAAATGTGGTATTAGGAAATAAAAAAAAACTAATATGAAAGTGAAAGATATAAGATACAAATAGTATTTACACATGCAGGGAGAATATCTTTATACTCTGAAAAAGCATGGACATGGCCAGTCAGCATGTAGCAGTTGTAAGAAAGAAGCATGATAGAACATGCAACTTACACACAAGCATAATCATTAAGGCATGCAAAAGAAAATGAATCATATAGTCATGTGCCATTATATTTTATTTTTTATTAGTAGTCAAAGTTGTTAGAATTGCAAAACCTAATACGACTTGTCAAGCCAACAATTTGTATCATGTGATGAATTGGAGATGGCTTCGAATCATAAAATACATGCATAAATCGGTGCAATTTCATATTACTAATACAAATCGCATGATTCAAATGCATTTTTTTTCTCCTTTTCTTCTATCAATTTTCATAAAAGAAATTGAACAGCCAAATAAACTTAAGTTGTTAAATCCAAAGAAACAAAGGAATGCCACTGAATCCACCCTATTTGATTATTCCATTTCCTAGTTTTCATTCTTCAAAAATAGGGGCTTCACAGAGTTACTCACTCTCTCTATGCATCTTATTTGGCTATTCCATTGCTCGTTTTTATTCTTCTGAAACAAAGGCTTCACACAGTCACTTGCTCACTCTGTATGAACCTTGTTTGGCCATATCACTCCTCTGTTTTCGATCTTCTGAAGCATAAGCTTCATGCAATCCCTTTGTGACTCAGATATAAGTATATAACTTATGACTCATGATTTTGTTTTTTGAGACTTATGGTTAAGTTGTTTTGCAAATTCCTAGTTCCTAGTTTAAAATTATTACATTGAGCATAGAACCTTGATTTTTCATTGGTTCAGTTTTTCAAGTAAAAAACAGCACTATTACAACTATGCCATTCACGAGTACACACTACACAACAAGAACTTACATAAATTGCAATTTTCATGTTTGACTATAACCTTGATAGATTACTGAGAAGCAGGAAAAATCTTGAAATATCTTATAAGCAGTAAAGATTGTAATTCATAAATAGACTAAACTAATGATAAGCTTTAACTCAAATAATGTGCACTGCTTGACATGAATGATTCTAAACAACCGAGATGTATTCAAGAATTTCATAACTAGCAGGGCTATATAAAGCCAAACTTACTGGAAAAATAAAAGTGAAAGATGGAAGTCGAGGAGAAAAATTCTAAGTTCTATAAGAATAACAAACAATTTTCTGCGGTTTATAAGGTTAACAAATTATGGCATGAGTATGACAGAGAACTGGAATTCTTACCTTTCATTCTTACCAAAACCAAACCGGGCACCAAAATAGAAAGCAACAGCGAGCAGCCATGAGTCACTGTGAACTGCAACCAGTGATAACCAGTCCTTCTCTTGCATACCATCCCTAGCAAAGTTTATACCTAATGCTGGCTCAGGAAGTTCAGGAGGCACTTCCTCAACAGGCAAATTCACTTCCCATGTTTCATTTGGAAATCCATATAGACACAAATTCTCCTTCTCTACAACGAGAACAATATAATGTTAGCAAATATCACATTGAATATAACACTTTATAGCATCACTTTTCTGGAGGTGAAATTATATGAATTAATAACCATTCAAATATTTCTAATAACTCCATTGTTGAAATGCATTTTGACATAGTACTTTATTAATAAGGGATAAATTAACAATGGTGTACTAAAATTAATGATTTGTCCCCATTCTCTTCCTTTCCATTCCCCTTATTTAACTGTTATTCTTCCCTACTAACTTCCAAACATAACAAGGTCAAAGAGAAAAATGGCAAGCAGTAAATTTTAATGTGACAGAATGACAGTCAACCTTGTAGATATGACAGGTGTATTAATGATGAGTAAAAAACCACATTAAACACACCCAATTTTGACAAATCACATTCAACTGCTAACATTTATGACACTTAACGGTCCATTATATCTCTAATCTGTGTGATGAAGATTCACGAGCATTGTTGAAAGAGACAAAAAAAAGTTACAGGTTTCTCTGTCCCTCTCATGCATACACAAACCATGCATTGCATGCATACTCTCAAGTGTCCCTAGATAATACTAATCCACAATCAGTGGTGGAGGGTGATTTAACTAAAGTTGAGGGAAGCCATGAACCCCTATTTTTGTTTTTTAATTATAATCTTTTTACTCTCTTTTCTTTTTAAAAAAAATTGAAAAAGTAATCCGAGAAACCAGAAAATACAAGCCATGGAAGAAGAGCACGCATAGCAGAAAACGAACACGCAAGGGGAATCCCACAAGCACATCAGAAAACCAGAAAATAACAAGTTAATCCCACAAGCATACCAGAAAGGAACACGCAACAAGTAATGCAAGATCATTCACAACCGGTGCGAATTCGGAGCAGTGTAACACAAATGGGTATTGATTATTAGAACCACAAAATTACTACGGCGACAAAAAAACAAGGGTTCGAAAACAACATGAACAACTACAAATAAGGGGTAGCCCAGAATAAGAAACATGAAAACAACCCACCAGGATCGCACTGCTGGAAAAACTTTTCAACGTCTGCCAAAAAAAAAGTCAGAAGAAGAATTCAGTAAAACCTTTACAATTAAAAGCCATAGAGAAAGAAGAGCGAGAGAGAGAGAGAGAGAGAGAGAGAGAAGACCAACCAGTAGTGAGGGCCTTAATCAATCCAGCTCTCCTGCCCTTAAAGTCGCTGAAAACCTCTTCAACTGTTCTAGGAATAGGGTGCGGTATCGCTTCCATCGTTTCTCTCTCTGTGTCTCGCTCGCTCTCGCTCTCTCTGCTCAACAATCCCAAATAAACTTCAATCAAATAAGGTTTCCTCTTTTGTTCAGAATGGCAATTGGCTAGGGTTTTCTTTTTCCCTGACTTTCAATCTTAATCAGATTTCGGGAAAAGGAGAAAGTATTTATCCAAATTAAATATTGCGAAGCATTGAAGAATTGAAATATGAAACAAACATTGCTGGGAGGGACTTACAATTTATATATATATATAGGATTAAAAATATAGGGTTGAGAAGAAAAGGGCACCGGGTCTGGACTCTCTCTTGAGAAAATTATTCAGAGTATTTATATACGAGGAAGAATAGTGTGACAACTAAGTTGTGTTACTATCAAGTGATTATCAATTAATCTCACCGTTAGATTGATTATGTTGATCCAACGGTTATATTTATTTTCATCTTTGTATGGTCATGATTCTTCATATTTAAAGTGAAAGCAATCCACTAGGGCTAGCCTAGTGGTGTGGGTGTGTGTAATAGGGTGTGTGTGAGTGTGTGGTTGTGTGTTCTATTCCTTGTAACCTACAAAAAAAAAAGTGAAAGCATTAAATATGGGAAATCATAACCAGTAAAAATAAATATAAAGTATTAAATTTAGGAAATCATAATCATACAAAGATAGAAATAAATATAATCGTTGAATCAATATAATCGATCTAACGGTAAGATTGATTGATAGTCACTTGATAGTAACATAACTTGGTTGTCACAATATCCTTCCCCTTAATATATTATGATAAACAAAAATTTATCTTATTGTTCTATTAATTAATAGGGGAAGGATATTGTATGGTTATAATTTTTCATATTTAATGCTTTCACTTTAAATATGATGAATTATGACCATACAAAGATGGAAATAAATATAACCGTTGGATCAACATAATCGATCTAACAGTGAGATTGATTGGTAGTCATTTGGTAGTAACACAACTTGGTTGTCACAATATCCTTCCCCTAATTAATATATGTATATTTATAATTAATTATATTCTTAAATCTTCTTAGTTATTGATTTTACATACCTCAAATATTACCTTCAAAATTTTAATATTTATTAATTATATTTGTTATTTATTATTATTATTATTATTATTATTTTATTTTATTTTTGGGATGTTTTAATATTCTTTCACATACATTGCATAAATTTGATAATATTACTTTTACTTAAATTAATTGAAAAATATAATAATTAAAAAGACAAATAATTCTTGTTCATATGATGATATTTCAAAAAATTTGAAAATTTTTAAAAATCAAATTTATTATCAATAATTACAATAAATTTATTGATTTTTTTTCCCTGTTCATAAAATAAAAAAAATTCGAGTGATTAAATTTCTTAAATAAAAAAATCGATGGTCAAATTGTTATTACAAAAATCTTTAGTTTCCCCTATTGTGGTTACAACAATTATTGTTTATCCCCTCCTAGTTTTAGACTTATCACTCATATCTATCATGGTTATAAAATGTATCATTTAGCCCCCTTAAATGTCTAAAATATATAAAATATCGATAATATTCTTAATAAATAAAATTCCAAAACATATTTAAAATGTTAAAAATATCCCTAATTAAAAAAATCTGATTAAAAATACCTATTTTTTTATACTTACTTTTAATCTTAACCATTTCACTTAATTTTATCTGATGGTTGTAAATAAACACACTATATAGTCAATAAACGAAAAAGAATTACCTCCCAAATAAAAATATGAACCGTTTACAAAATAAAATAAAATATGAACCAATAGTAAAATAATTTTACACATTAACATTCAATATTTTTTGAATAAGGAATGATCTTGCTTTTACAATGCTCAGAAGTTTAATAACTACCGAACGCTAATCAAATACAAACTATTCATGTCACGATGGTTTATTATCAGTCCAAGGCTTTTTGGATAAGGATCAATCCTTCTTAAAAATATCTCTTGACTTTGGACAATATATGTTAATGTTATTTGTGTTTTTTTTAAACTTTGTCTTTCTCACATAGTTGTAACTTGGTATTGCTTCTATTTGCTTAAGAGATATTTGTTCAATTCCTCAATTTTTTAGTATGTTATGGGCTTTCGCTTCCGAATGTGTTATTCACCCATGTTGAAAGAAGTGTCTTAGCTCTAATATAGAACTAGCTCAACCCCAACCTAACTGAACGCATGATTATTCTGTCACTTTTAGCATTTTGACTTAGTAGATAACTCAAACAATCTAAAGTCTCTAAATCATAAGACATTGGTTGAAGGTAATTACTATGCATATAATCTTAACCCGTGGTCACATATTGAAACTCCATCTCAATTTGAGAGTAATGCTTATTTCTCGACAATAGTTAAGGCAAAGTTCATGAGTTGTAATGTTTCCGCTGCTTATTTCTTGACAATAACTGAGGCAAAGTTCATGGGAGAAATGCTTCCCTTGCTTATTTTTGTAAAAATTAAAGCAAAAATGAAATAAGTATGTGTTACGGATTTTAATTTTAATTTTATTATTTTCTGAATTGTTGGGTTATTTAAGTAGTGAGTAGTTATTTCTATTTCAACTTTCCTAAATGATATGTTATAGTTATTAGTGGAGTCTATCTAGTGCTAGTGAGTAGTTATTTATAAGGTTGTCTTATATTATTTATTTAAACCTTGAAGTATTTAAATAAAGATAACCATAAGAATTGTTTGGAATAAAGCACTCCGTGCAAGAGGTCAGGCTTCCTCAATAAAGCCATTTGAGGTCAGGCTTTCTCAATAAAATCAAATTTTCATTTTTATTTATTGTGTTCGTAACAGTATGTTAATCACATATTTCAGATGTTGAGCTTTTTGGTAACAAAGACATCCATGTCAAATACCTAAAAGTATATATAAAATTTTTGAACAAGAATTAATAATATACATATAATTCTAAAATTTGGACACCACACTAAATTAAATTTTAGTCATTCCTCTTAAACATTTTTTCTCTGACAAACCAAACCACCATTATCATCATAAATTGGGATTTATGGAGAGTGATTTTTTAATTCCTCTTCAATCCAAGAAAACATTGCACAACAATATAGATAATTTCTTCTATCAACATATTTAGGTATCAAAATTATAAATAAAATTGTTTTGTAGTTTGTTGAAATAATAGATTAAAGAGAAAAGTGTTTATGCTTTTAAATGACACAACTTATATCCTTTTACTCTCACAAAGAAGTGGAACCCACACTTTTATTTTGTTGTCAACTCTCTCTCCTCTTTTATTTATCTCTTTCTCTCTGTTAAAATGACATAATTTTACATCTTTTAAAATGACACACACTTTACCCCAGATTAAAAGGATGAATGAGATACTTGAACGTAGTTGGCCTCCCAATCATGGCCGATGACTACAACTTCTTCCTTAGACTGAATAGCCTAATTCACTTAGTAGCAAGGACCAAATACATTTTCTCTTGTATCTCTTTGTTCTTGCTTTGGATATTATTTTTAGAATTTTTTTAATTAAGGACATTTTTTATATTTCATATATAATATGTTATTTTTTGAGTAAAGGTACTATCAATATTTTATACACTAAGGATATTTTAGACATTAAAGAGACTAAATGATACATTACATAATCATGATGAGTTTGAATAATAAATTTTAAATCACGGGAGCTATGTGATAATCGTTGTAGCCACGATAAGTGAAATCGAAACTTTCCTTTGTTATTATTATTGATAATAAATTTAATATTTTTAAATTTTAAGGGATAAAAAAATTAGAAATACTTATAATTTTAAATATTATTTAATTTTAATTTAATAAAAATGTTCAATTTAATGGTAATTTGTTCAATTTGATTAATTTAATGCCGACAAATGCCCTATTTGACAGAGTTAATTCTGGACAACAAATTAAATTGTGTATAATGTTTAATTTTAAAATAGGCCCGCTCAATCAACTTTTATCAAGAAGACATAGATTAACGGGGAAGGATCCTTTTATAAATTTTTTGTATAAATTTTTACAAATTATACTATGTATTCCGGGAAGTACATAGTGTAACCGAATGTACTTCTGAGAGTACATAGTGTAGTTTTTGTAAATAAAATATTTGTAAATATAATCCTCCCCTAAATTGATAATTATTTTTTAAAAGTTTATTTCGTCATTCAACTACATTCTGACTAATTATTTTAAAGTTTTTTTTACTACGGCTGGGCTAGTGACTAATTATTGAATATGCAATAATAACATGTTAGAATTATAGTAATCGTATAAAAATTAGGTTTGGAAAGTGAAATTTATTTATAAATAGTACACATAATGAAAGAGGCATGTCATATTTGTTACCTTCTAAACCTTACCATCCTTGCCATCATTTTTTAACTGTTAAATCATATCCAAATCAATAGTTAATATAGCAAACAAAAAAAATTACATTATGTTCCCTTTTTTTCTCTCCTGGTCTTCCACACAATCTCTCTCTTCATTTTCATATGAAGCCTTTTTTTTTTTTTTTTTTTTTTTTCTTTTAACTAATTTGTTAGCGGAACTCAACAAGACCAACCAACCCATATTTAGATTATAATTAGTAATGCAATCTTTCCAAAATATTCACACTAATATCTGAATAAAAATTAATTTTAATAATAATCAACACTATTAAGATTATAATTAGTGATATAATCCTTTCAAAATATTCACACTTATGTCTGAATCAATAATAATAATGATAATATTAGTGAATTGGTCAATATTGTCCAAAACTATAGAATATCTCGTGTCTTAATATGACATCGGTTTTAGAAATATAATGGACATTTTATAAGTGCACTCAATACAACATCTTATATTAAAATCTTAAGACACTTATATAATCTCATTTAAAACTTATTTGGGTGAACTTAAAAAAGAAACTTTTATGCATTATTTTTGTTAGCATAATTTTTTCAAAACAGAATTGTTTTGTATTTGGATGCACTCTTTAAAAAGTATTTTTAAATAAAAAATAGTATTTTGATTTTTTTAGAAGCCAAAAATGTTGGCTAGGAAACAGTAATTTGGTTTTTTGTGTGATTTTTTATTTTTATTTTTTTCATATATCAACTATAATTATTGTTTTGAGACAGGTCAATCATTAGATTTTCTCTACACCTACTCAGCTTGAATTACCCGTTGACAAGCGTTTTTATCTTTTGGGAAAAGAAAAAAAAAAAAAACTTGTCAAAATGGACTCTTACCCAATTCATAGTTTAATCAAAGTAAGTTCAACGAGTGACCGTTAGTCCACAAAATCATAATCAAATGGAATTCAATAATATTGATTAATACACAAATTAATTGTAAGAAACAAATTATAAAATAATAAAGTTTAAAATCTAAAAAAAAAAAAGATATGTTTATTTTGTTGAGAGGTGAATAACTGCCAAGAAAAAAGTTGGAGGAGCTGGACAGACAAAAATAAAATTGTCTGCACCGTCCTGAGCCTCCCTCAGGTATGTATGTGAATGAAATGAATGAAAGAATGAATGAGGTTCCACTTCCACTATTACTATTACTTACTACATCTCTATTCTTATATAAACAATACAAACTGCCACAGTTTAGTTTCCTTATGTTATGCCGCCACTTGTTTGATAAAATGCTTCAGGACCTATGTCTCGCTTATTGCTTTTGTGCCGGATCCGGAGGGTTTCTTCTTTTCGCAAACTCAATTGTAACTTCATCTCCACTTCCTTCTCTTTCTCTTTCTCTTTCTCTTTCTTCGCTGTATAAGAGTTTACTACTAACAAAATATCTCTCTTTGCAGTTGCACGAGGACCAAGCTCCTTTTCTTCTTTGGATGTGAGGGGTTTTTGCACCCTTACTGCAACAGATGATTCTGGTGATGTTACCAACAAAAGATATGAAAAGCCTTTGGATTTTACTCAAATTCAAATTACACGCTTACCAACTGTCATCATTATAGGGCGACCTAACGTAGGCAAGTCTGCATTGTTTAACCGGTGAGTGACTTAGACTAGACTTGTGTACTAACTAACTAAAACACACACACACACATACACATACACATACACATACACATGCTTAGTCTTAGTTAATTATCATTAATCAATCAAATATTGGTTTTTTAGTCTAATTCGGAGGAGGGAGGCTCTTGTATATAACACACCTGATGATCATGTTACCCGTGACATACGGGAAGGAGTTGCCAAGTTGAGTGACTTACGATTTAGAGTTTTGGACTCTGCTGGCTTGGAAGCAGAAGCCTCTTCCGGTTCTATCCTTCACAGAACAGCTTCTATCACTGCTAATGTATTAGCTAACTCTCACTTTGCAGTCTTCCTCACCGATGCAAGGTTACTTTCACTTTACTGGGTGTTATGAATTACATGTTACATGTATTGTCAGTAGTGCGTGCCATTTATTTGTGTTTTTTTGCATTTCAATTCCTCAATTCAATGTACTAGTTTAATGTGAGCTATTATTTGTGATTTCCTTTGGTTTTGCTCAATTTGATTACCTTTTCTCACCAGAGCTGGACTTCATCCTCTTGATTTGGAGGTAGGAAAATGGTTGCGCAAACATGCGCCTCAAATCAAACCTATTGTTGCGATGAATAAATCTGAATCACTCTTTGATGCTAGTGGCTCTCTTGCCGCAGTTGCTAATGAAATGTGTCGATTAGGATTTGGAGATCCTATTGCTATATCTGCTGAGACTGGACTGGGTATGCATGACTTATATCTGTCTCTTAAGCCTGTCCTGGAGGACTATATACTTCGTGTCTTGAATGGTAAGTGACCCCCAATGTACAAAAGCTTGTGTCATTCCACAATGAAAAAATGATAACTGCGAGGTTAATTTATGCTAGCTTATTATACAAGTGATAAGCTTTTGTCTTTGTCTTTTTGGGCCGTGGAAGAGGGGTTTGCTAAACCAATTGTTTGTTGTTTGATAATTTTTCGTGATCATACCAGGAGAAATATCATGCAAATTTGCACTTATCAACATTAAGTTCACTTTTGCGCTGCCATCTAATCACTTCTTTTAATTCTGCATTCAATTGTAACTAATCATAGATGAAGGTGCCCAGGATAATAGCAACATTGAGGACAGTACCATCCCTGAGGTTGACAAAAGTAAGCTGCCATTGCAGTTAGCAATTGTCGGACGCCCCAATGTTGGGAAATCAACCTTACTGAATGCATTGTTACAAGAAGACCGTGTACTTGTAGGTCCTGAAGCTGGTCTGACAAGAGATTCTATCAGAACCCAGTTTGAATTTCAAGGAAGAACAGTTTATCTGGTAAGTATCCATGAGTGTTTAGTTTATTGACATCTGGTAGTATTGATAGAGTTGGAGACTGGTAGATCTAAGTAGGAATATCGCTTGTAAGAGGAAAACACAAAAGTTCTTTGTTGTTCTGGACCTTTAAGTTAGATGATATATTGTCACACATTTCTTTTCCATTTTTGTGAGCCTTCAAGCATATGTGCATGTGCACGTGTTTCTTTTTATGCAAAGGTGGTCTTGAGTCTTGACAATATTCAAGTCCACATGTCTTTTCTTTAAAATCCATAGGAGCTATTGCACAATTTTGTCGGTCAGCATGGTCAACTCAATATCAATTCACTATAATTTTAATTTTCCTTAATCTTTATTCTTGGCACATTAAATCAGTAATTGTATATTTAATTGTCAAACGTGATGCTTAACATGGTTGTAAGCATCCAAATTTATATTTTGACTGACGGTACTTATTAGACATGCTGAATATGGTTTGCTTTGAGGGTAATAAACTCTAAGTAAACAATTTATTTGAGATTTTGGTTACATTTTTTAAATTTTATCATGTTTTGCTGCCATTCAGGTTGATACTGCTGGTTGGCTGCATAGGACAAAACAGGAGAAAGGAGCAGCATCCTTGAGCATTATGCAGTCAAGAAAGAGTCTACTCCGGGCTCATATAATTGCTTTGGTACTAGATGCCGAAGAGGTATCCTGCATATATTGCACATTTCGGACAATGCCACACAACTACGATATAGTCTGGCAAATTTTTAACTTGCAAAATTGCAATTTCATGAAGTCTATTGTTCTAATTTAGTTCACATGTTTCTATCAATAAAACACAAATTTAAGCCTATTAAAATATTGATGAAACCAAAGTATAGAGGGGATTGTATTAATGGGAAATTGAGGTTATACAGAAAAGTATTAGAGCAGAAGCTCCCAGCCAAGGAATCACACTTCCTAGGTCCCCAAGCTATAAGCTGAACAAAAAAAACGTAACTCCTCCCATGGAAGAACTTCCCTTTTAACTATGTCCACTTTCTCTCGACATAACTAGCTTTCCCTCCCCTCACACACTCAAGACACAGACACACCTTCCCTCCTAACTACATCGGGCCTAAGCCTTTGTAAGGCCCTTTTTTTTCTGGAAAAATAAGGCCTTCCTTTTTTGGCTCTGTATCAGAATTATGAGCTACGGCTCTATCAAATATAATTGTTCTGGTAATTCATTTATTGGTTGAAAAATGTTGAATCTGATACTTAGATTTTGCTGATTGTGGTTTGAAACAATTTATCATTGAAGATTCCCCAGAACATGTGTGGCGTGTTCTCTCTTGTGAGAGCAACATGCGTCCTATTTCACTCCCTTCTTTATTGGTTTACCCCTTAGATCAGGTTATCCTGTCCATTTTGATGGGATTGGTGCATGAATGACTGTGAAAGTGTGAAGTATGCGTAAGTGTGTATAACATCCACTTTTAAAAGCGTAATCAATCAGAAAGTTTTTTCCTCCCATCCCCATTTCTATATGCTAATTAGTAATTACATCTTGTATTGATAAAAAAAATTAATTAAAAAATCTACATTGATCAGATTGTAAATGCTAGACGAAGTATGAAACATGCAGAAGTAGTTATAGCCAGACGGGCAGTGGAAGAGGGACGTGGTCTGGTTGTGATTGTGAACAAGATGGACCTTCTAAGAGGCAAACACAAATCATTATCCTATGAGAAGGTTATGGAAGTTGTTCCCCAAGAAATTCAGACAATTATACCTCAGGTCTGCTTTGTGATAATAAGCTCAACTTTAAGTCTAACTGTCCAATAAATTGGACTGTTTGTTACACATCATGCTTCGAAGTGTTCTATTTTTATTTAACACAGATGTCAAAATTTTGTATTTGGACACGATATTAAAATTTGTCATGGTTCAAGCAGAAGAAAATATCTGAGGCTATCAACTTATCATACAGTTCTCACCAATTTCTGTCTTCCTTTGCTTTAAGGGGATGAATAACAAACTTTACTCGTTGTTTTGTATTGTGATTTAGCATTGACTTTGGCAATTGTGAACAGGTTACGGGAATCCCAGTTGTATTCATTTCAGCGTTGGAGGGAAGGGGCCGTACCACTGTCATGCATCAGGTTATTGATACATACGAAAAATGGTGTTCAAGATTACCTACAGCTCGTCTTAACCGTTGGTTGCAAAAGGTAATTAATCCATCCATTGTCACTTTATGTAACAGTGAAACATGCCATTGATAGTAAATTTTCTTTCTCCTCTCTTTCTCTTCCATCGGTTTTGATCAGGTTATGAGCAGGCATTCTTGGAAAGACCAGGCAGCACAGCCTAAGATCAAGTATTTCACTCAGGTCAAGGCCCGGCCACCTACATTTGTTGCGTTTGTGCGTGGTAAGACTCAGCTTTCTGACACAGACATTAGGTTCTTAACAAAATCCTTGAAAGAGGACTTTGATTTGGGTGGAACTCCTATACGGATCATGCAACGTTGTGTCACTAAGAAAGATGCCAGTGGAAGTGGCAAGAGTAGCTCTTCAGTAGGCAGAGTGGCTGAAAGGACCATGTCTGACAAGAGAAGATTCTCAGAAGAATAATAATTTTTTACTTTAATAAGGACACGAGCATCGCCTCTTTCTGCAGTACATTGCAAAAATGAGCTTAGAGTCTAATTAGATGCTTAGACTAGTTTAATTTTTAATTTTATTATCAATTCAAAAGTTTAATTCTGAATTCTTGAACTAGGTGCAGTAATGAGCATAGTTTAGAAGGTGCTGAGCTGTATATATATAACTAACCATATGACGCCGGGTAATGTTGCTTCAAGGTTAAAAGTTGGTTTTAGTTAAACGATATTATCTCATGTCACGAGATAACAGAAACGTTTATATGTATTTGATAACACAAATATATAATTAGAAACAGAAGTTCATATTCTTATTTAACTTCTATAATTTAATTTAGCAACGTGGTTTACAAAATGGTTCATTTTACATCATCCTAATAGTTGTGCTATGACCAGATATACAAAGCTTGTAAATAATTGGAATCCAATTAGCAAATAAAGTACAGTGTAACCAACAAGATTGTGGCTCAATTAATATTTAGTTTAGTCATTAAGATGGAGGTGTGATATAGATTGAAGAAAAAGAAAAGGCAACAATTACATATAATATTTTCTAGGACAAGATGATCGTGAACAGGTGTTTAAACAATATTTTCCTTAAAATGTGAGTAGGAAGTTTTGGTACTAAACTATTGAGTGAGGGAAAATAGTTAATATAATAGAATAATGATATCAGTTATAGAGTGAGAAGAAGCTGTGTTTATATATATACCTTCATGCGAGAGGTACTTGCCTACTTCCCTGCTTTTGTTATTCACGCATGAAGCCATAAACATTGAAATTGTAATAATTATTTGTGTGTCAGTGAATGAAATACTGTCTAATAGATATCTATTATATCTATGAAGTGTTATGGGAAAACAATATTTCTGAGATAATTCTCTTCGTTGGTTATATATATTCTATGCACATATTATCGGAGAAAATTGTTCGTTTACTTTTGTTGTAGAAAACGGCCTCTAGTAACATAGGATGACAATTAAAATGAACTCAATAAATCAGAATTTCAACACTAATATTGCGATACAGTGTAGGGATCGCATAGTAAAATAGTCTTGGCTCATTCATCCCACACAAAGAGAATCTCCAACCTATTATAAATACCACACTCCTCCACGAGGAGAGGAGGCATCATCATCATCAACACAGTCCTACCTATATTGTTACTCTTCCACATCATTGACCATGAAATTGTGCGCTATTCTTCCATATTAGCAGCTCAACCAATCAGTGTTATATTGTGATAGTTCAACCTAAGAGGGAAACAACCTCTCCTCCTATCCTTTAACATGCTCAAAAACGAAGATAGGAATAATAGGTTAACGATATTTAAAATAAAATAAAACACATTGGTATTGGATTTTCAAATCTCCAAAAATATTAGAGATAGTTCTTCTTCTTTTTTCAGTATAACCCCGTTTATTACATGATAAGCTGACTTTTTTTTATATTTTATTTTAGGTTCAGCATGGTATTATAGATGAAGAAATTGATATAAAATATTTCAACCAAAATTAATTATTCATTTAAAAAAATATTACGAGGCACCTCTATACTCGTTGGGTATAAAATTAACATTGGTTTAGAGTTCTAAAATTATTATTATTAATTATTATTATTTGTTGAAGTGTTTTCTACTAAATATCGCATAAGCCTTTCATAAAAACTTACTTAAAATTAAAAGGTGAATTTTTCACTCCTAATATATCAGATCATGAATTAATGACTGTACTTAATTTTTTTAAAATGTAATATGTTTCGAATTTTTTTTCTTTTTGGAATAGAATATTTACAAAGTTTTATGAGTTGGACCAAGCTTTATTCCATGACATTTACATAAGATGCTTTTTTCTTATTTTTAAGTTACAGAAAATGTCTCGAGCCAATTTTTGAGTAACAAGTGCTATTGCATAACCCATGCCATACTCTTACGAAAAATTCGAACGAATTTCAACAAAAGAGTATTTATATCGAAACCGAGACGTGTGAGTAGGTAGAGCATATGAAACCCATGCCATAATAATATTATTATTATTATTATTTTAATCTTATAGAGCATATGAAATCCTAGTGAGATTATTATTCTAGATAAACGTATTTGGTCACTGGAACTCTGCCAAATCATATCTCCAATGGACAGATGCAGCACCATGTTTATTAAATCAGACACCGTATTTTACTTTTTGATTCGCAGTCTATCACTGTTACTTTTGCTTTGTCGATGATGTTCAAATTCACTGTCAGGAGTTGGAGCCGGGGAAAGCACACTCGTGGAGAAAGCATTAGTATCTGGGGAGGGATTAATCTCGAAGCTAAAAGATTACTACCGTAGGCTACAAAACATAGCCAGAACAATCCCTAATGGCCCAAAGATATTTGCAAAAGCTGTCTGTGCAGCCAACAAATGGCTAGCTAGATTGCATAATTGCAAACCCAAGAAAAAAATGTAGAGACATTTGATCACACTATTTCATGGGAAATCATTTAACTTATTCTCATATCTTCTTTCATCAAAGTGCCTCTTTATAATCAGGCAATTATTTATGCTAACATTGTGAAAAGAATGAATTGTATCAACAAAATTTTATTTGTGAAGATGATGTGGTGGAAGGCCACCATAAATGACGAAGGGTTGGAAATCCTTGTAACACTGAATTTTATATCTCAAGCTAATTTAATGCTTCCCCTGGTACCCCCATGGATTGTTGCTTGCCCACTTCCATTGGTCCCTGCACATCTCATCTACACCGTATTTTGCCCTGTTGTTAATGTTAAGCACACCATATATTAAGAAAACGGTAATCACAAAATACATAATAATAGGACTTGAGAGTGGATCAAATACTTACTTCCAACCAAGTTCTCTCTCAGCCTTCTCTGTAGATGCATAAACAGAAGTGGCATCTCCTGGCCTCCTTGGACACATATTTATTGGAATTTTCTGGAAAATGGAAGAGCCAAAAAAGATCTTGAGACGTGGTCAATAGACTCAATACATACATGTGTGTACATGAGTATGGAAGATGCAAAATCACCTTGCCCGAAGCTTTTTCAAATGCAGCAACCATTTCAAGCACTGATGTACCACGACCAGTTCCCAAGTTGTAGGCAGTACAACCTAAGAAACAAATTGTCCCGGTTAGCTCTAGATTACAAAAATTTATCAAAATTCAATTCATATATATATATATATATATATATATTATAAAAGGCAAATGCTTTTAAGAAAGAAGGTTGAATCACCAATGTTGTCAGTTGCAAAAAGCTTTCGTAGGGCAGCAATGTGACCATCTGCCAAGTCCATTACATGGATATAGTCCCGGATCTGATTCATATAACCAATTCAAATAAGTAAAAAAAAAAAGGGAATGATTTTCTTACCATTAATCACTGTAAAGTGGTTATTTGGGTTGGGACAGAAGACAAGCGAATTGATTATAGTTATAGTTATACGAACCGCAGTGCCATCTTTAGTGGGATAATCATGACCATAAACATTGAGGTGAGGCAATCTGGCAACAGCTACTTGCTGTATGTAAGGCATGAGGTTATTTGGGATGCCCTTAGGATCTTCGCCAATCTGACCACTCTCGTGGGCCCCAACTGGGTTGAAATATCTGAGCATAATGATCCTCCATTCTGGCTCAGCCTCGTGAATATCTCGGGCCATTTCTTCAAGGTAAAGCTGTATGTATGTATGTATATATTTATGTGGACAATATTAATAATAAAACACAGTGCAAGTCAAGTGAAGTTAAGGAAGTAAGTACCTTGGTTCGTCCATAAGGATTCATGGCGTGTAACTTGGAGTCCTCAACGCAGGGAATTTGATCAGGTTGGCCATAAACAGTTGAAGATGATGAGAAAACCATCTTTTTACAGTTGAATTTAGCCATAACTTGATAAAGATTGATAGTGCCAACCAAATTGTTATCAAAATATCGGCGGGGCTTAGCGACACTTTCTCCAACAGCTTTCAGACCCGCAAAGTGGATCACCGCATCGAATCTGTGTATGTTTGTGTTTGTGTTTGAGTGTGAGTGAGTGGAGAGAGTATAGCTTCATAGCAAAGTAATATGAATAATAATTATGAAGGAAATGTACTCGGTTAGAGAGAAGAGTTTGTCCAAATCATGGTTATTGCGGAGATCACCATGGAAGAAGTGGAGATTGTTTGAACGGTGAGGACCCACCAAATGGCGAATCCTATGGACAGCTTCGATGACGGAATTGTGAAGATTGTCGATTACGAATACCTTAAAGCCCTGCTTCAGAAGCTGAACCACCGTGTGGGATCCGATGAACCCCGCCCCACCCGTTACCAGAATCGTCTGTGTTTGTGTTTGTGTTTGTGTTTGCCCTGACACAGACATAGACGACACCATATTTATGTTTTATGTTTCTTTCTAAATTAGAGAGTTACACACACACACACACACACAAAAAATGCTATGGACTTAAGTAAAGGTACAGGACACTGGCGAGTCTGCACCAGTTGCACCTCCCTCTCCGCCACACACCTAATTTAAAAAGTTATACACACAAACAATCAAACTATTATTAATTAATAAATTATGGACGATGCTACAAACAATCATCCAGCATATGTGTCACCCATCTTTTACAAATTATTGTCACCCAGCTATGCATGTACATTGATGCGAAATCGATCGGCTACCCACAAATCACAATACCCTTTTTTATTTTTTTGGGTAAAATCAAATCACAATACACTTACAACAAGCAACTAAACAATGTACAAGTAAGTAACTAAACAATGTTTTTATTATCTATTTTTATATCAATTTAATTCAATCAATTCAAATTTATTGCTTCGAATTTAATAACTCTGATTAAAATTCTAAAATGTTAATAGATTTAATTTTATAAAAAAACTGAAGTGATGACATTATATTTATAAACAACTATTTCAACGATAAAAATAATTAAAAGATTAATAGAATATTATATTAATTTTTCAAAAGTATTTAAAAATCATTATAAAAATTAAAAAAAGTTTACAATACATTATGAGAGGATTGAAAATTAGATATATTTGCCTTGATAGTTGATACTTGCTCAAGATCATTAACTTAACCATCGATCACATACATGTATTTTAGTTACATTTACGTCTATTATGCGATTAATATTTATAATATAGTCTTAATATGTAATTTTGCATTTACATGATGTAAACGTAATTATTTAAAAGAATGAGATTTGTGTAGGTATAGTTGTTTTAAAATATATTAATTCATATTATTATAAATAAATATATTAATTAATCTATTATAACTAGATTAAGTGTCTCCCACTCAATCACATGAAGTAATGGATCACTAGATTCTTAAATAAAGGAGAAAGATGAACGATCGATCGTGACTCTTTGATGAGTTGAGTCACTCGAAGTTTATGTAAAACTAAAAAATACTTGACCACTTATGTTATGTATTGCAACTTACGATCCAATGTATAGCTTTTTTCTTTCGAAGTAATAATCGAAAAGCAACACCGCATCACTATGCGGTGTTAGAAAAGTTAATGGGAACTCATCCAACTAGGACGGCAGGACCTAATTTCTTACCTTCCATGTAGATGTAAGTGCTTGATTCGCTTTTTTAGGCTGCATTTTTGTTCTAACTGCTCGAATCTATTTTGATATCGTTTCTCCCTCTTTCGTTAAAGTAAAATGTATATTATTAGCCTTTTAGTGAGAGAGACCAGTGAAAAAAATATATATGAATTGATTCATGTTGAAGAACCAGTGAGGTGCCGAGCAACGATGTATTTTTATTTTTTATTTTTTTTTGAGTCTCCCCCATTAATGTTCTTTATGGATTAATTAAAGAAAAAATGTGTATCATTTTTAAAGAAGGAAAAGTTATGTTATTTTAAGTTAGAGAAATAATAGATAAAAGAGGAGAGAATGGACAAAAAAATATAAAGGTGTGGGTTCATCTCTTTGTAAGAGTGAAATGACACAAGTTGTGTCATTTAAAAGGATAAACATTTTTTTTATTAATTAATATAGCATTGATAAAAACTAAGAAACAACTACAAACTAGAAAAAAGTAGAACAATGTTGGCCTTTGCCCTTTGGGAACAGCAGCAAGGCGAACTATCTCCGGAGGCATCTGGTGGTAGTTTTGCATTCCCCTTCCAATGATTATAGCATTGTTAAAAATTGTAACTATTTTTCAGCTCGAAAAACATAAAATGTGTCCATTTTAAATGTACGAATATCAATTTGGGCCATCCAATTACAGACCATGATGTAAAACTGGGCCGAATCAATATATCTTAATCAAGTAACAAACCCAAAACGTGTATGAAACTTCAATTCTATTTAAGCCATCGATCAATAGAAACAAAAAAATATTTCACAATCAAATGGTGGTAGCTCAGTTGGGGCATGGGAGCTGAGCAGGTGGGGTGAGAGCATGTGTTCGAATTCCCCTAATACCACATTTGGGAGGGGTTTAAAGCTTTAATTATGGACCCGCTTCAAATCAGTTTAGTTGCGAAACAATGAACATATTAGAATATTTCAAATTTTTTTTTTTTTTCAAAATTATTAGATATTGATGCCACTTTATTCCTTCCTAACAACCACCTTAAATCTTCATAAATTTTATTAAAATTAACTTCTTGTGGGTGTGTAGTATTAATCATCATATTTAGGTTGTCGTATTAATCATCAAGAGTGAAGAGAGAACAATTGTAAATTGGAGAAGATTTCGTGAAATAGATAAAATGAAGGTAGTTTATTCCATTTCATGAGGAGAAAAATAAAATAAAGGGAAGAGAGTGAGTCTTATGCCTAGGCACTTGGCTCCACAGAAGAAGAGCTGAAGAATATAAATAGAATAAAGCACCTTCCGCATATAAAGCAACTGCAAAATCTGCTTGATCAATAATAATATTAAGGGAAAAGTTCATCAATGTCCCTGTCTCCAGAATCACTTATACCCCTGTGGTTTTTTTTTTATCACATATGTCCTTATGATTTGCAAAAGGGTATGTTTTTTATCACATATGCCCCAGTGATTTTTTATATTTTACAAAGCACAGGGGCATATGAGATACAAAAAAAACCACAGAGATATTGATAAACTTTTCCCTAATATTAATATTGCTGTACGGCTCCGAATGGATGCAATTGGATTTGGGCCTTTGGCATTTGAAATGGCATGTAGATTCTGGTAGTCAGGAAACAGTCAAACACAACTCAAATTTGTGCCAATGGGCTGCATTGCTGTTTGCTGGGCTCGAGCCAGCTTACGTAAAGTGGTTAAGATATAATATTATATAAAAATAATAAATATATCTTCACCTAATAATTATATTTTTAAGTTGAATTGATTTTTTTATAGAGAGGTTATATTTATCATTTATTTTATCTTATAACCTTTTATAAGTACTTTTTAAGCAGAATCAAATCAACGGTTATAAAATAACATAAAATAAGAATCATTGATTTGATTTTAATCCAACAATAAAGAAAATAATTGTAAGAGGTTGTAAGAAAAAATATATTATAAGTATAACATCCCTCTTTTTTATATGATATTAAACTTTTGTAATTTATGGATCCTGAGTTAAATTCCTACTACCACTTTCATTCTTTCAACAAAACATTTAATTTCCATGTTTCAAACCTTAAAAAAAAAATGGTGGTGAACTTATAAAGAATGTGCATGATAATATCATCAAAAACGTTCTTTGTCTATAGTAATTTTTCTTTTTAAATATCTATTAACATAACTTTCTTTTTAATAAAAACAGACGATTAATGACAATTCTAGTTTTTTAATTTTTAATTTCCTCATCAGCTCAGCTAATTCACAGTCATGTCTTATATATTCATCACGGTGAATAATGTGAGCACTCATAACAAATTATGCGGTTTGAATTTCGTTACCTTTTTTTTAAATAAAAATAATTTTAACACAAGAAAAAAGTAAATTTCTGTATTATCTACGTTTTTGGTGTAAAAATTCCTTGCGTTAAAAAGTGATAAATATAATATTATTTTCTATCTCAATCAAATAATTGAGGTGACTACATGAAAAATATTGTAATATTATACATCATTTTAGAATTTAAAATTGCAAAATAATTTTTTATTAAATCTTATAAATTTATAAATTCATGAACGAAAATTACAATCTCAAAAAAGATATATAATATTACATTAATAGCGGACCCACCCCGTAATTTAAGCTTTTGGACCGGATGTAACATTAAAAGCCACGGGTACATGCTCACAAGAAGTCACAAATGCTCAACAAATGGGTCTCACTAATAATTATTAAAACCTACTATAGTCAAAGCAATCCCTTGGACTTCAGCTACTACATTTGGATCAGATCCCAATGTTAATGCCAATGCATTCCTTTTTTGCTGTGACTGTGAGATGATGTATTATGCTCGTAAGGGATCCATCCATCATACTGACATACTCAACTGCAAATCTTGATACAAATATGGGAAGCTAAATGATGTCATAGTACAACGAGGAATATCTACAAAAAAAATCTACGAAATTTCCATATTACTATTTTTAATTCAAAAATATATAACAATTATATAAAATTGATATATAAATAACATTGTTGATCGAGAAAATTGAAAATGGTAGTTTCATGTCTAATTAGCTCATCAAAATTTGATTGATTGGTAATTGGTGATTCAAGGGTTAAAAAAGGAGAAAAAAATTTCACAATTCAAAATTTGTATATAAAAAGTAAGGATAATGTAATATTTTTTTCAGGGGATAAAATAATTTTTTCAGACACATTTACTTTCTCAATCAAAAAGCTACATTGTAATATCCCGTGTGTTACGTTATGATTTTCAAGCGGTAACTAAAAATAAAGATCATACAATCATGCATATATAATGGTTTACGGCAAACAGAAAAAATAAAATAGCCAACAAGAATTTCTATAAGGAAATACAATATCCCAAACAATAAGTAATCTTCTTGTTTTTTCATGGAGCTAACACTGTAGAAGAAAACTTCATAGAAATCCTAAACTTTCATTTGAAAGAGGGTTGATTCATCCAGAAAAGATTTAAGCATAATATAATTTTCCTGACAAAAATACTTTAGAAACTCAAACCTTTCTAGACTTATTTAGGTTATCAATTCAAGCTGAGATTTGTCTCCTAATCGAAATAAGTTTTCATTTTTTTTTCTTTATCTTTAGTTATTGTCATGTTGGGATATTTAAGTGTGATACAGTTCCACATTGGTTGATAATGAGCTAAGTGGAGTGCATATAATTAGAAGGATCTATGAACTCAATGTCTTAGGATTTTGGGTTGAGATATGATGTTGGACCCACTTACTATGATTGGGAAGCTTAACCCATTGATGGTGGTCCTTCGCCATGATCTCCCCCTAGGCTCCCCCGACAATGGTATCAAAGCCGGATTAGGCTCGAGCAGGGCTAAGGTACTTAGTTGAGGGCGAGCATATCAATATGAGGTTTCACACTTGAGGGGGAGACTCTGTTGGAATATTCAAGTGTGTGATAAAGTCCTGCATTGGTTGATAATGGGCTAAGTGAAATGCATATACATAAGTAGGAGGATCTATGAATCCAATGCCTTAATATTTTAGGTTGCGACATGATGTTGAACCCACTTGCTACAGTAGGTGAAACTTAGTCCATTGATGGTGATCCCCGGCCTTGGGCTCTCCTAGGTCTGCCTTGAAGTTACATTAGAGCAGAGGGCTAGCTAGGTATTTGGCTAGAGGGGCAGGTTGAATATTTGGGCTTAGGGTACTCGGTTGAGTGAGAACATATCAATGAGGGATTTCACATTTGAGGGCAAGATTGTTGGGATATTCAAGTGTAATGGAGTCTCGTATTGGTTGGTAATGGACCAAGTGAAATGCATATAAGTAGAAGAATTTATGAACTGATACCTTAAATTTTTGGGTTGAGACATGATGCTAGACCCACTTGCTATGGTTGGTGTAGCTTAACTCATTGATAGTGGTCCCCCCGCCATGAACTCTCCCTAGACTCGCTTGACAGTCCAACAAGTCACTAGAGAGATGGGTGGAGGAGGGTTTGAACACTTAAAAAACATTTATAAGTTGTTTAAGGGAAACAAATTCAAATCTTTTCCGAAAATGATTCGAACCCCAACCCCCGTTAGAAGGAGGATTCAAATGCTATCCAAAAAGTATTTAAATCCTCTCTGTTCTTTGTGAGGCATTTGAATACTTATCGACGAGGTATTTGAATCCCCCCTGGACAGAAGTCATATATGTAGAAAATTTTCACTATCTTTCCCGAATTTATACTTTTTATTCCTTTTATCTTTCAAGGTAAGTTTTATGTACATCTATCTCAATTATGATTTACTAGAAAAATCCTATATAGCGAGGGAATTGCTATGCAAATTCCGTCGCTAATTTCATCCTCGCTACTACTTTCCCTCGCAAATTCCCTCGCAAACGATATTTCATCCTCGCTACTACTTTCCCTCGCAAATTCCCTCGCAAAATCGTTTGAGAGGGAATTTGCGAGGAAAAGTAGTAGCAAGGATGAAATTAGCGATGGAATTTTCATAGCAATTCCCTCGCTATACAGGATTTTTCTAGTAGTTCATAATCTAATTGAAAATCTTGGATTCACTCTCTAAGATTATAAATGGGAAACACCAAAATCTAAGCCTTAGCTCTGAATTTTGTCCAAGGTAAAAAGTTATCTAAAATAGTAATCACACTCTTTAATATAAATTTGAACTTTTCTCATACAAAGATCCAAATATAAAGGTCCAAAATACATACATCAACATATTAAGCACTTTTAAGTACATTTAGAATTTGAAATATCGTTTCTAGCATACATATCTGAATACATCTGCCCAAAGATAGGATGATACATCCACTTTACATGAACCACTATTCTTATATAATAACAACTTCATTATAAGAGAAATTTGCAATTTTTAACTTAGAGAAGAAAGAAAAACATAAAAGGAAGGAAGAGGAGGAGCGAAACAGAATCATGAATCATAACAAAACTCATACAATATGCATTTAAGTCATTTTCAAAAGAAAAATGCTCAAACTAAATAACATATATTTCATCAGATCCAACAAACAAATCCATACTATGTAAATTAAAATAACTGCATGAATCCAACAAACACATAATGATGCTTGTAGTAAGTATAACCTTTCCCAAAAATCTTTTAATATATTCATATACACAATCTAACATGTTGAGATGTTGGTTCCTCCTATATAAGAAATAAAGTAAGATTTCTATTAAAATATAATCGAATATAATTAAGTTATAAATAATTGTAATTGATTAAATTTATATCTTTTGTTTTTCCTTCAAGGCATACTTACTCTATTTTATTTTATTTAAAATAAATAGTATAATATAGGCTGGCTTGTAGGCTTATAGGCCCGACCTTTTGAAAGTGGGCCTACGACCTTTTTATTAAACAGACTTTTTTAAGGCCCAAGCCCGACCTATTATACAAAATATACTAGGTCAGGTCTGGCCTGATGTAGGCCGAGCCGTAGGCCCCTGTAGACCGGCCCGGCCCAGTTTCACCCATATATATATATGAAAAAATCTTAAACCTACTATTTTAGGTTAAGATTAATGTACTTTTTTATTTATTTAATTTATTTTTAATTTGATAAGTTTTAGGAAATTAAAATTGAAATCCAATACTCAAAAGACTTAAGGGAGAACTTATGCAGGACTCAAAATTGAGTGCGAAAAGATGAAATCTCATAACGATTAAAAATAAGTTAAGCCAAAATTATATTAGTGAGAACACCCATAAATTTACTGTTAAAGTTTGGTCAAGATGAGTGTCAAATTTATTATTGTCAATTTTTTTCACTTAACTCGTTGAAATAAGTCTCCCTAATTTTTGAACTTTCTCTAAATCACCAAGATTGGAAAAAAACTTCAATGAGCCAAAACTATCAAACTTGGTACTCCCTTTTACTAAAAAAAATAAAAAATTAGACTTAAGGGTAATATAAAAAACAACATGTATAAATAGATAATTTTTTTTCCTTTTTTAATAAAAGGGAACACCAAATTCTGTGATCCCGATGCATTGAAGTTTAGCTCCGAAAACTTGTAATAGAGCAAAGTCATGGTTTCAAAATCCCAAGCACTTAGAGAGGATATTGTTGACTTTATTTGGTCAACATCTCCCTTAGGATTGATGGATTTAACACTCCTGCTCATGTCTCTTCTTGCAATGGTGAAGTTCCTCAAACTTGATGCAAATTTTAAAAAATTTAATAAAAGAAAGTTGCATTATTATCGTTAACTATAATTTTTAACTTAACAGTTTCGATCGATGGACCCAACACTGCTTCTTCTATAGATACAACATGCATTTGCAGTTTGCCAATCGAGGTACATTTCGATCTGTTTCCCTAAGTTGAATAAGAACGGCGATACATGTACACGTGAGAGAGCGAGGAGCATATATCCTCGAATTTTGGAATCCTAATCACATATATATGTCTTGTTTTTCTACTTCAATTAATATGCCTAAAAATAATGTTGGAATCTTCTTTAATATGATCTGGTATCCCATGAGTGCAGACACTAGTTTTGTTTGAATAAAAAATCATATGCAAAACTAATCTTATATTGTCGCCTTTCAATTTTAATAGTGAGGAATTAATATCAAACTTACCCTAAACAGAACTACATATAATCCCCATTCTATATGAAAAAGTACAAGCTACACTATACCCTGCCTGTTCATCACGCCAACATTTAGTACAAAATTGGTAACTTAATTTGAAGACCTTTTTAACTTCTTGTTCTTGTAGACAATGGTTTAAAACTAAAACCCTAATAACGGTACCATCATATGCATATTGATGATTGTTTAATACGATCGAGTCATACAATTATGTTATTTAAATCTAAGATACAGGATTAATTAGAGTAAGGAAAACAACCTAAATAAAGTTGATACTTAAAATCAACAAAGATAAATAATGTCTCTATATCTATATATATATAAATGTATGTGCAATTCATATATATATATATATATATATATATATATATATATATATATATATATAAATGAGTGATTACTTGAAGGAGATGTTGGTGTAGTCTTGGCTTGCCTCAGGGATTGGATTCCACTCCCAGAGTCGGTCAGAGAAGGTGGTTGGAAGTGGATTTGGTAGCGAGTTGAGAGAAATTGGTGCTTGTTGCATCAGCAAACTAGAGAACTGATTAGGATGGCTTTGAACATTGTTGTACTGCTGTTGATAACTCACTAGCCTATTGAGATCATCCATCATTGCACTGTTTGAAGACGCGGAAGAAGGGCCAGCTGGGAAGAATGCTCCACAAGCGGGGATTAAAGAGGTGGCTACATGCACTTGTTTAGATTGCTGCATCATCATCAGCCCTTCCTCCTGATCCATTGGAACTAAAGGTAGTCCCATTGTTGTGCTAAGTGCACCCATAGCAGCACGGTAAGCATTGTACTTTGAAAGTCCAAGAGCTGTTGACACATCTGAACCAGCACTGCTGCTTCCCTCCGCTTCATTCATTTTGTCAACTATTTGATCCATTGGTTTTGATTGTCCAACAAATCCCATGTTCTGTTGAACCATTTCATTATGCTTATTCTTTTCTGAATGTGAACCTCTCGATAAGGATGGCCTTGTTGGGAGACAACGAGGGAGGGAGGGATGGTCTTCTACTCCAGCTCTCTTGTATACCCGGCAAAGCGATATCTCACCCTTGAAAATGGAAAACAAATCAATTTTGAATTTGGTATTAATTAATTTATTTGATGAAGAGTTTTTGGGGGTAAATTTTTTTGAAAAAACTTACGTCTACCACTATGAGCATCGATCTTAAAGTTATTACGAAACAAAAGGGAATTTGGTCAGAATTTAAAATTCATGCATGTAGTCATAAATGTTTGCGAGTAAAGGAGAAAGAATTAAAGTGAATTAATTACAAACGGTGCCTATTTATTTTAATTTTCTGCCAACTCTTTTATTCTCTTCCCTCTTCTCTATCATGTATTCATTGCTCGATCCCTCTCAGCTTCTATAGTTTTGGATCTATGATTCGATTGGAAGTGAAGCATAGCTAGCTAGCAACACCAAGTTAATTAATTCTCAAAAGCTAAAGCAAACGAGAAGACCAAAAATCAAGATGCATGAATTAGTACAGCTTTAAAACTAGGGTTGAATTTCAAAACCGAAGGCTCGGTTTTTTATATATCATGAAAGAAGAATGAGAAATGAAGGATTCCATATAGACTTTTGTCAAGAACTGATTCTAAACTCACGAAACATAAATAGCAGCATATGTGTGTTTGTGTGTGTGTGAAGGTACCTTTTGGAAGTGATTCTAACATATATATATATATATATATATATATATAGCAGCAGCATATATATATTATATATGTGTGTGTGTGCGTGTGCGTGTGAAGGTACCTTTTGATATCGTTCAGTTTCATGTTGTGGCAAGCGATACTCATTCATAATCCAACTGGTGCGGATGCCTTTAGGAGCTTTTCCAGAGTAGAAAACTAGGGTTTTCTTCAACCCGATTGATCGAAAGTGCTCGGTTCGAATCATCCTATCAGCTCCCGTTGCCTTCCAATACCCAGAGGTAGTAACACGATTTGGACGATCACCGTTGCGATACTTTCTATCTCTAGGCACATAAAAGTACCATTCCTTTTCACCAATAGCTGCCAACGCTGCTCCACAAATTAATATAATTTCATTTATCAAATCCTCCCCCCCACACCAAAATTCAAGGAGAGATTGAAATTAATAAAGAATAGAAATATATGTATAGGATAAAAATGCACATGCGCCCACATATATATGTGTGTGAATTATTAATAATAGACGTCTATATATGAAGCAAAAAAAAAGGTTAGCTAGAATATATAAAATCAAAGGGAGATGACAAAAAAGGGGTAGTAAGTGGGTTTCCAGAATTCCTTCAAGGAAAGGGAAGCTGTCATATTATATCATATATATATATATATAAATATATGATATATATATATAAGTACCAGGAAGCTCCCAAGGGTCATAGCGATAAAGATCAAGAAAAGTAATGAGCTCAACGTTGAAACGCTTGCCCTCCACCTTACGGCGAAGGTAGAACTCAACGAGCTCTTCTTCAGTTGGGTGGAACCGAAACCCGGGCATGACCATGTCGTGCTCATGCTCATCTGGCTTTGTATCGTTCACGTTGACGTCGTTGGTGGTGGAGTCATCATCATGGCTGTGGCTATGGCTCAGGCTCATGGTGGGCGATGAGGTTGCCGCTGCAATTGCCATTGACTATATATAACTAACTACTCTTTCCTTTGCCTTCTTTCCTCTTTTATACTCAAGAGTAATATTATTTGTACGATAGTGTTAGGCAAAGATAAGAGATTGATGGTTAAAACGTACTAGTATGTGCAAATGAACGAAATTTAGTTAATTTTTTTTTTTTAAATAATAATAATAAAAAATCTAGAAAATTGGAAAAGTTTAATTAGGTTGCGAAAAAGAGAAGAGAGAAGAAGCGAGGAGAGTTAATAGAAACATCTACATAGCATTGCTTTCGGGCCCTACGTGGGAAGAGGGTATACGCTAAGGTGTTTTTAAGATGAGAAAATGACTTTTCACGAAGAGGACAGGTTGGCAGAGCGGTGCCCTTGGACCTTTCTCCCGCTACATACAAAATCTTGCACGGAATTTTTCCTATAAATTTATAATCACATATATTCTATGGAGGTATTGTTTCTCACGTTACATGAGATAATTTGTCTTATATATAATACATAAAAAATGAATAAAATCCATTAAGTAGAAAATAAATAAGTTTCACCTATTTTTTATATATTGCATGAGACAAATTATTTTATGTAAGATGAGAAACAATATTCTCATATTCTATTTTTAACTTCACCAAATTATATTATAAGTTTGTAACACGAATCCATATCTCACCTAAAAAGCTAAAACACTCGCCTCTGTGTTACCCTAAAAAAAAAAAAATTTAAAAAGAAGGCACCCGTGTGCTCTTGCTCTCTCCTCCCTCTTTTGCGTCTCTTTCGAATAGATTATGTTAGGTCTAAAACTGTTTTAACTAAAACCAACTTTTCTTGAAATACAAAATTTTTAGCTGATGAAGCTAGTATTATATATTCAGAAAATGAAGGGATGGTGAATTCTCTATTGTGACCGTGACAGTTTTATTTTTTTATAAGAAGAAAAAGCCTTCAAATTATTAGGTTTGTTATACTACTTGGACTTTTATATGTTCCATCAAATTGGTGAGTGTGTTGATTTCGTTATTGAGTTTTTTTTTTTTATCCTGTACGTACCTTAGCATCACATGCACCACATGAATCTTGTAAGTTTAATCAATCATATGATGAAACTATCAAAAAAATGTTCACGTTGGTCCCCATAATAGTTAATTTTTGTATGTTTAATTATAGTTAATCGGCCATTGAAAGGGATAAACTATTTGTATTTTCGAAAGAGCTAGTAGCAACTACTATTTCATGCATATCACTCGACAAAATTTTGAAATTAATTTTTTTTTACCAGATTTAAATGTGAGATGGTGGTTGTTAATTATGAAAAATTGTGCAATACATGACATTGGGTGCGTTAAGATTAATATTTCTTTATAAGGCACCAGATTATTAACTTACCGTGCAACTTAAAAGAACCACATCATTCAAATATCTAATTTTGGTAGTTTAATTTGACTCAAAATCTAATATCATTAATATTTCAATCTCTTACGCGTTATTCAATATTTAATTTTCATTGAATAAATGTGAGAATAAGCTTTTTAATATTATAACCAATTTAAATGTTAATTAATTGAGGAAAGTTATACTTGCAACTTATTTTCGTTTACAAACGAAAATAGATTATCATTTATTGTGAATTAAAATTAACTAATGAGTTTGATTTATGAAAATAATAACCGTTGATTGACGGAAATCAACGGTTAAAATAGGATTATATAAGAGGTTGTAAACGAAAATAGATTGTCAGTATAACCTTCCTTTAGTTAATTTACTCACATTTTATTACCCTTGCTTAAGGTTATTAGTTAGAGATGGTTAGGAGATAATGGCAAACTCAAATAATACTTGATAAAATATGATAGAATTAACAAAGATTAGAAAAATTAATGCTAAAAAACTATTAAGGAGAAATACTTAATTTAGAATGATAAAAAAAGAATTACTAAGAATCACCATTTAATTTTAATCATATACTTTATAACCAAAATTACCCTTATGGTAAATAACTCACTTTTTTATTTACATTTTTCTACCGATTCATCAATTACTCCACTAATTCCCTTAAGACGGGAAAGACCATAAGGGCAGCAAAGCTTTTCCTACCAAATTTTTGACATGGCTCCATTAATGGTGGTGTAAATGGGATGGACCAAAGTAGTCTTTGGTCTAAATAGATCAGACCCACACAAAATATTTTAAGTTTAACTTGACATATTAACATGATATAAGTTGAATTTAAGTCTGACATTGCCTATATTTAAAATTTGAAAAGTTTGGCCTAACCAAGTAAGCTAAATTAAAAATCTAACATTGTCTTTATTCAAAAATCACAAGGCTTGGCCTAGACCTATTAGTGGATGATCAACCATTTTGTCCTTGTGTTGAATTTTTAATCACTTTATCTCTCTTCCCAAACTATATGCAAATTTGTTTTAATTTGACCAAAGTTTAACCGATATTTACTCAAGTAAATGACTTACCAAAGACTGAGATTCGGTCACACTTTGATCAAATAGTGACATATTGATATATAGTGCGAGAAGATGGGTATGTTGGTATATAGTTTGGGAATAGGAGCAAAGTGGTAAAAAAAATTCAAATAGTGGTAAAATACCCTATTATATTGGGAGGTTTCAAGATCTATTAAGGATTAGAAAAGATAAATAAAGTAGTATTATTTTATTATTAAAATTATTTAAATAATTGTTTTATTTTATTTAATTAAAATAAGTACTACGATATAGGCCGACTTATAGATTTATTGGTTATGCCCAATAAAAGTAGGTCCATGATTTATTTTCTCAACCAGTTTTTTTTAAGGTCTAAAGAATTAATGTTCTATTTTATTGAATATATTAGGTTAGTTTTAACCTAATGTAGAATAGGTTGTAGGCCTCTGATAGAATGTCTGACTCGTTTACACCTCTTGCTACATATACCCAATTCTCGAAATAAAAAATATTGATTAAGGTACACCAATTGATCCACATTGATAATAACAATTTTGTGACTATTTTATGCATAGTTATCACTCATTTTTGAATAGTTAATAGTTGTAACTGAATGGCTACTAATATGATATTTGTTATCAAAAGTTATTACCCATCTCTAATTTCCAAAAAAAGAAAAGAAAATTATTACCCATCTCTAATTGGTCAATAGTCACTAACTATCATGTAAATAACTGTTACTCATACAGTCATACTTGAGTGATTAATAATAGACATTAAGCAGTCTAATCTATATTGTCAATATTAGATACTACTCATATTTAATTAGTTAATAACGGCTACTGGGGACTATCGTGCGAGTGATTTATATTTGAGTGGCAGACTGGTCAACCGTATTAATTGAAATTCATTAAGGGTACGTAAGTTTGACTTTTTGATGAAATTGAACGATATTTATCTCTAATTAAAATTTAATTGATCCTGCTTAATAATTTTTAACTTTTTTTTTCTCATTCATCAAGTTACCTTTGGTTAAGGGGAAGAAACAACTTATCACCTGAACCAATAGTTACTGGTAAGTTATAATTTTCCTATTAAATCACTTAAACCATCTAAGATTTATTTATATGATTGGTCTCTTAAACTAACTAGAAGTAATCCTATCAAAATACGTATGATTTAGATTGAGGACTATTGCATATAATCATAGCCAAACTTTACTTCTAGGCAATCGTAGCTAGCAATATAAATTAATTGGTTGTAGCAGGAAACGTATAAATTGATTATACAAAAAGAAATCTCCTATAAAATCCAGATTCTAAGCTTGAATAAATGCATATAAAACACGTAGAGCAGAACTGCAAGGATAGGAAAAATTGAAACTGTTTTGTCTAAAAGATAAAGATGTCCAGCTGGTGGCTTGTATATATTATGTAGGATCTGTGTGTCTTCTCTCAGGTATCTAAGAAAAAAGTTTATTTGTGACAAAAATTTTCGTCACAAATTTTGTCACAAATGACAATTTTCGACACAAATAATCAAATTTCGTCACAAATAAATTTGCGACTCAAGAATTTGTGACGAAATTTCATATGCAGTGACGAAATTTGCGACACTAATAAGATTTTTTCTTGTATGAGATACTTTTGATGGTAGACAAATTAAATCACTATGCACAATAATAATCGATATAGTCAAGGCGTGGGGTGTGTGTACAATGACAAGCTAAGAGAAAGGGTTTAGAGTATATGTACCTTATTGGCTTAACTCCTTATTTATAGATGAGTTACCTAACAGGAGTGTATTTCTGGGCCTCTTATAAATATTGAGGGTCCAAGTCAACTGCTTAGCTGTTTGGATAGGATCGTCATTCATAGAAGATTTCATTCCTTTTTGTGATGTCCTTTATTAAACTTTCTAGAATATGGGCCTTTGTCATGCATGGTGTAGGTCTCACTAAAAAAAATAAAGACAAAAAAAATAAAAATGCTAGTCTCACCTCTTTGTATGTATCTCTCTCTTAAAATGACACATACTTTTTTTTTATTAATCATTAGAAAGTGACACATTTATTTTACTTTGATTATTGTTTTTAAGGATTTGAAAAAAAAAAAAATTATAATTTCTTTCACAATATCTTTAAAATCGAAATAGTACAAAAATAAAAAATATTTTATAATTATAATTAAAGAACATACTGACAAAACCAAACGCCGTTTAAAATTTACTTCGTTCTTTCTCATTGTCATAAATTGCTCGTAAACGCTATACAAAAAAGAAAAAAGAAAAAAGAAAAATATGCTCGTAAACTTCCCTCCGTAAAAGTCTTAGACGTGATGGTTATAGAAATCTGTGCAAGCTAGTTGTGATAAAAAAACAAATAGCAAGAAAAGCTTGCGTTGACAATTTGACATCAAAATTCTTGGTACAATGCATGTTTTAACGGCTCGAGTATTGTGGGGGATGAAGAAATTTTATGAGGTTAGCTGGTGCCTGCTTGTACTAAAGTGGTCACCAATTAGGATAGGTTAATGTACTGCACTGCTAAGGAACGATGAAAAATGCATAAATTAAGGAGAAGAAGACTTACATTTT